TCCCCGGGTGCTGGGTGCTGAGTCCTCCCCGGGTGGTGGGAGCTGAATCCTCCCCGGGTGCTGGGTGCTGAGTTCTCCCCGGGTGCTGGGAGCTGAGTCCTCCCCGGGTGCTGGGCTGAGTCCTCCAGGGGTACTGGGAGCTGAATCCTCCCCGGGTGCTGGGAGCTGAGTCCTCCCTGGGTGCTGGGGGCTGAGTCCTCCCCGGGTGCTGGGAGCTGAGTCCTCCCCGGGTGCTGGGCTGAGTCCTCCAGGGGTGCTGGGAGCTGAATCCTCCCCGGGTGCTGGAAGCTGAGTCCTCCCGGGTGCTCAGTACTCGGGGTGCTGGGTGCTCAGTGCTCAGGGTGCTGGGTGCTCAGTGCTCGGGGTGCTGGGTGCTCAGTGCTCAGGGTGCTCGGTGCTCAGTACTCAGGGTGCTGGGTGCTCAGTACTCGGGGTGCTGGGTGCTCAGTGCTCGGGGTGCTGGGTGCTCAGTGCTCAGTGCTCGGTGCTCAGTGCTCGGGGTGCTGGGTGCTCAGTGCTCAGGGTGCTGGGTGCTCAGTACTCGGGGTGTTGGGTGCTCAGTGCTCAGGGTGCTGGGTGCTCAGTACTCAGGGTGCTGGGTGCTCAGTGCTCAGGGTGCTGGGTGCTCAGTGCTCAGGGTGCTCGGTGCTCAGTGCTCGGGGTGCTGGGTGCTTAGTACTCAGGGTGCTGGGTGCTCAGTGCTCGGGGTGCTGGGTGCTCAGTGCTCAGGGTGCTGGGTGCTCAGTGCTCAGGGTGCTCGGTGCTCAGTGCTCGGGGTGCTAGGTGCTCAGTGCTCAGGGTGCTGGGTGCTCAGTGCTCGGGGTGCTGGGTGCTTAGTACTCAGGGTGCTGGGTGCTCAGTGCTCGGTGTGCTGGGTGCTCAGTATTCAGGGTGCTGGGTGCTCAGGGTGCTGGGTGCTCAGGGCTCAGTGCTCGGGGTGCTGGGTGCTCAGTACTCAGGGTGCTGGGTGCTCAGTGCTCGGGGTGCTCGGTGCTCAGTCCTCAGGGTGCTCAGTGCTCAGTGCTCGGGGTGCTGGGTGCTCAATGCTCGGGGTGCTGGGTGCTCAGTGCTCAGGGAGCTGGGTGCTCAGTGCTCAGGTTGCTGGGTGCTCAGTACTCAGGGTGCTAGGTGCTCAGTACTCGGTGCTTAGTACTTAGGGTGCTGGGTGCTCAGTGCTCAGGGTGCTGGGTGCTCAGTACTCAGGGTGCTGGGTGCTCAGTGCTCAGGTTGCTGGGTGCTCAGTGCTCAGGGTGCTGGGTGCTCAGTGCTCGGTGCTCAGTGCTCGGGGTGCTGGGTGCTCAGTGCTCAGGGTGCTGGGTGCTCAGTGCTCGGGGTGCTGGGTGCTCAGTGCTCGGGGTGCTCGGTGCTCAGTACTCGGGGTGCTGGGTGCTCAGTGCTCAGGGTGCTGGGTGCTCAGTACTCGGGGTGCTGGGTGCTCAGTGCTCGGGGTGCTGGGTGCTCAGTGCTCGGGGTGCTGGGTGCTCAGTACTCAGGGTGCTGGGTGCTCAGTGCTCAGGGTGCTCAGTGCTCAGTACTCAGGGTGCTGGGTGCTCAGTACTCAGGGTGCTGGGTACTCAGTACTCGGGGTGCTGGGGGCTCAGTACTCGGGGTGCTGGCTGCTCAGTACTCGGGGTGCTGGGTGCTCAGTACTCGGGGTGCTGGGTGCTCAGTACTCGGGGTGCTCGGTGCTCAGTGCTCGGGGTGCTGGGTGCTCAGTGCTCAGGGTGCTCGGTGCTCAGTGCTCGGGGTGCTTGGTGCTCAGTACTCAGGCCTTGGTACTCTGTGTGACCCTGAGTGACCCCGTGTGACCCCGTGTGACCCCGAGTGACCCCGTGTGACCCCGAGTGACCCCGTGTGACCCCGAGTGACCCCGGGTGACCCCGTGTGACCCCGTGTGACCCCGTTTTTTTTTTCAGTTAGGAGACGTTTGGCTACGGTTGGATTCGGTTTGAACCGGTTTGATCCGGTCTGATTTAGTTTATCCGGCTTGAGACGGTCAGAACAGGTTTGAACCGGTCTGATCTGGTTTGGAACCGGTCTCAAATGGTTTTATCCTGTTCAAACCAGTTTGATCCACACTGAACCAGTTCGGTCAGGTCTGAACCAGTTTGATCTGTTCTGATCCGGTCTGAACCAGTTTGATTCTGTTTTGAACCGGTCTGAACCGGTTTGAACCAGTCTGAATGTTTGAGCCACACTGAACCAGTTCGGTCCGGTCTAGACCAGTTTGATCCCGTTTTGAACCGGGCGAAGCTGGTTTGATTCAGTCTGCACCAGTCTAAACCAGTTTGATCTGGTCTGAACCAGTTCCATCTGGTTTTGAATCGGTCAAAAGCCACTTTGAACTGTTCTAAACCGGTATGGATCCGGTTTGAACCGGTTTGATCCTGTTCTGATCCGGTTTGAACCAGTTTGATCCGGTTTTGAGCTGGTCTAAACCACTTTGTACGGATCTAAACCACTTTGAACCATACTGAACCAGTTTGATCCGGTTTGATCCGGTCTGAACCAGTTCCATCTGGTTTTGAATCGGTCAAAAACCACTTTGAACTGTTCTAAACTGGTATGGATCCGGTCTGAACTGGTTTGAACCGGTCTGAACCGGTTTCATCCAGTTTAAACCAGTTTGATCCGGTTTTGAGCCGGTCTAAACCACTTTGTACTGATCTAAACCAGTTTGAACCATACTGAACCAGTCTGATCCGGTCTGATCCAGTTTGATCCATTTTTGAACCAGTCTAAACTGGTTTGATCCAGTTTGAACCAGTTTGATCTGTTCTGATCCGGTCTGAACCAGTTTGATTCTGTTTTGAACCGGTCTGGTCCGGTCTAATCTAGTTTGATCCTGTTTTGAACCAGTCTGAACTGGTTTGAACCGGTTCAAACCAGTTTGATTCGGACCGGTGTCAGCCATCACTCCAGTCTCATGGGTGCTGAGTGCTGGGTGGTGAGTCCTCCCGGGTGCTGCGCTGAGTCCTCCCGGGGGCTGCGCTGAGTCTTCTCTGTGCATTTCTGTGTCCCGAGTGCCGACATCACACGGGCGTGTGTGCGAGAAAGGTCACGGGCGTGTGTGAGAAAGGTCACGCGTGTGTGCGAAAAGTCACGGGCGGGGGCAAGAAAGGTCACGGGCGTGCGCGAGAAAGGTCACACGTGTGTGCGAGAAAGGTCACGGGCGTGGGTGCGAGAAAGGTCACGGGCGTGCGCGAGAAAGGTCACGGGTGTGCGCGAGAAAGGTCACGGGCGTGGGTGCGAGAAAGGTCACGGGCGTGTGCGAGAAAGGTCACGGGCGTGTGTGCGAGAAAGGTCACGGGCGGGGGCGATAAAGGTCACGGGCGTGCGCGAGAAAGGTCACACGTGTGTGCGAGAAAGGTCACGGGTGTGCGCGAGAAAGGTCACGGGCGTGTGCGAGAAAGGTCACGGGCGGGGGCGAGAAAGGTCACGGGCGTGCGCGAGAAAGGTCACACGTGTGTGCGAGAAAGGTCACGGGTGTGCGCGAGAAAGGTCACGGGCGTGTGCGAGAAAGGTCACGGGTGTGCACGAGAAAGGTCACGGGCCTGTGCGCGAGAAAGGTAACGCGTGTGCACGAGAAAGGTCACGGGCGTGGGTGCGAGAAAGGTCACGGGCGTGTGCGCGAGAAAGGTCACGGGCGGGGGAGAGAAAGGTCACGGGCGTGTGCGAGAAAGGTCACGGGCGTGTGCGTGAGAAAGGTCACGGGCGGGGGCGAGAAAGGTCACGGGCATGGGTGCGAGAAAGGTCACGTGCGTGGGTGCGAGAAAGGTCACGGGCGTGGGTGCGAGAAAGGTCACGGGCGTGTGCAAGAAAGGTCATGGGCGTGTGTGCGAGAAAGGTCACGGGCGTGCGCGCGAGAAAGGTCACGCGTGGTGCGAAAAAGGTCACGGGCATGTGCGCGAGAAAGGTCACGGGCGTGTGCAAGAAAGGTCACACGCGGGTGCGAGAAAGGTCACGGGTGTGTGTGCGAAACAGGTCACGTGTGTGCGCGAGAAAGGTCACGGGCGTGTGCGCGAGAAAGGTCACGCGTTGCGCGAGAAAGGTCACGGGCGTGTGCGCGAGAAAGGTCACGGGCGTGTGCGCGAGAAAGGTCACGGGCGGGGGCGAGAAAGGTCACGGGCGTGCGCGCGAGAAAGGTCACGGGCGGGCACGAGAAAGGTCACGCGTGGTGCGAAAAAGGTCACACGCATTGCGAGAAAGGTCACGGGCGTGTGCGCAAGAAAGGTCACGGGTGTGTGTGCGAGAAAGGTCACGGGCGTGGGTGCGAGAAAGGTCACGGGCGTGCGCGAGAAAGGTCACGGGAGTGTGCGCGAGAAAGGTCACGGGTGGGGGCGAGAAAGGTCACGGGCGTGGGTGCGAGAAAGGTCACGTGCCTGGGTGCGAGAAAGGTCACGGGCGTGGGTGCGAGAAAGGTCACGGGCGTGTGTGCGAGAAAGGTCACGGGTGGTGCGAGAAAGGTCACGGGCGTGTGTGCGAGAAAGGTCACGCGTGGTGCGAAAAAGGTCACGGGCGTGCGCGCGAGAAAGGTCACGCGTGGTGCGAAAAAGGTCACGGGCGTGTGCGCGAGAAAGGTCACGGGCGTGTGCAAGAAAGGTCACGCGCGGGTGCGAGAAAGGTCACGGGTGTGTGTGCGAAACAGGTCACGTGTGTGCGCGAGAAAGGTCACGGGCGTGTGCGCGAGAAAGGTCACGCGTTGCGCGAGAAAGGTCACGGGCGTGTGCGCGAGAAAGGTCACGCGCGTGTGCAAGAAAGGTCACGGGTGTGTGTGCGAAAAAGGTCACGTGTGTGCGCGAGAAAGGTCACGCGCGGGTGTGAGAAAGGTCACGCGTGAGACCGGTGTCAGTCACCACTAGAAGCCCCGCCCACCAGGGCGACGTCGTTCCCAGACTTCGACCCCGCCCACCCACCCCACGCCGGTGTCACTCCACACTCAGCCCCGCCCACCCCACGCGTGTCCCGCGCAGCCCCAGGCCCCGCCGCACGGACTCGAGTTCGAGAAAAACCGTTTATTGGCATCGTGTTCCCCCTCCCCCCTCCGCTCTGTGCAAACCCTCCCAGGTCGCACACGTATGACACACGTATGACGGTCGTGATCGTGTTTCCCCCCCCGGCCGCCCCCCACGCACCCCGTGTTCACGAAGTTCCCGCGAATTCAGTCCCGCGGCCACGGCGTCCGCGTTTCTCGTTTTCCACATGTATTTATATTTTTTATCGACTTTTTTTCCCCCGGCAGAGTCCGTGTGTCTGTGTCAAGATAAAAATCCCCACCCCCCCGGTGGGCGCCCACGCGGGACGGAAAAAAAAAAACAGAAAAACGGGGTGACGCGCGCTGCCCCTCCCCCGAAAAAACGAGATTAAACCGCGGGGAACAAAAAAAATCGAGAAAATCGAGAGTCTCCTCCTCCGCGTGAGTCCGCGTGTTCGGAACCGGAACCCGCCACCCGCCCGCTATACCCGCGTGGTCGAGTGTCCGTGCGGCAGGTTCGACCCGTTCTGCCCCCCCCCGCCGCCGCCGCCCACGCCGCCCGCGAAGGCGTTGAACGCCAGCGTCCCGGAGGCCGATCCCCCCGTGGCCGTGGCGATGGTGCTGGGCGCCAGGAGCGCGACGTCGTCGGGCGAGCGCCGCAGCGTGAGCGCGTAGTCGGGCGGGCAGGCCGCGTGGATCCCGCCCGTGATGGCGGTGGTGGTGGCGTCCGTGGCCGCGTCCACGCCGTTTCCGCCCACGCCGCCATCATGGCGCTGGCCGGGCCGAGGCGGCGGCGGGAGCGGTTTTTTCGCCGCCGTTGGGAACCCCCTGCCGTGGCCTCCGTGGCCGTGGCTGTGCCAGTGTCCCGCGTGCAGCCGCCGGTGCGTCTCGTGACGCCGCCGGTCCTTCTTGTAGTAGAGCGCGGCGAAGGCCAGGACGTTGAGCAGCAGCAGCGAGGCGCCGACCGCGATCGTCACGCTCAGCTCCGTGGCGTAGTCGCGCTTGGTCTCGATCAGCACCGTGGCGTCCTCCGCGTGGTTGGCGTGTCCGTGGGCGTGGGCGCGGCTCCCGCGTGGGCGCGGCCCGTGCTCGCCCCTCGCCGCCGTGACCGCGGGCCTCCGCGTGGCGGCCCAGGGCTTGCCGTGCGCGCGGCGGGCGTCCTTGTCGGTGGCGTCCGCGCCGTGGTCACGCGTGTTTTTGGCGTGGGCCGTGTCCCCGCCGTTGCCGGGCGCCCGCGGGGTGGTGCTGACGTACTGCAGGAGGTCACGCAGGCCGTGCAGGTGGGGCACGAGCTCGAGCCAGAAGGCGACCTTGGCGGCGCGGTAGTGGTCTCGCACCCGGGGCCGCAGCCCGATGTGCAGGTACAGCTGCTCCCGCGGGTCGTACTTGGACCAGGCCACCGCCTCGAACCGGTTCGGGCGCGTGTGGAGGAACGTGGTGTCCTGTGGCACCGGGCGGTTGGGGTCCCTGCGGGGGCGGGGGGGGGAGGAGAACACGCGTGAGACACGGGACGTCACGCGTGTGGTGCGTGTGATGTCCTGCGCGTTGCGTGTGATGTCATAGTTGTGTGTGATGTCATGCGTGATGTCGTCCGTGTTGCGTGTGATGTCCTGCGTGTTGTGTGTGATGTCATAGTTGTGTGTGATATCGTGCGTGATGTCGTCCGTGTTGCGTGTGATGTCCTGCGTGTTGTGTGTGATGTCATAGTTGTGTGTGATGTCGTGCGTGATGTCGTCCGTGTTGCGTGTGATGTCCTGCGTGTTGTGTGTGATGTCATAGTTGTGTGTGATGTCGTGCGCGATGTCGTCCGTGTTGCGTGTGATGTCATCCGTGTTGTGTGTGATGTCATAGTTGTGTGTGATGTCGCGCGTGTTCGGTGTGATGTCATGTGTGATGTCACGTGTGATGTCGTGCGTGATGTCATCCGTGTTGCGTGTGATGTCATCCGTGTTGTGTGTGATGTCATAGTTGTGTGTGATGTCGTGCGTGATGTCGTCCGTGTTGCGTGTGATGTCCTGCGTGTTGCGTGTGATGTCGCGCGTGTTCGGTGTGATGTCATGTGTGATGTCACGTGTGATGTCGTGCGTGATGTCATCCGTGTTGCGTGTGATGTCGCCTGTTGCGTGTGATGTCGCGCGTGATGTCATGCGTGTTCGGTGTGATGTCACGCATGAGGTCATCCGTGTGGCGTGTGGTGTTGTGCGTGTTGCGTGTGACGTCGCGCGTGGGACGTGTGGGGCCATGCTGGTCCCCCCGGGGGTCGTACGAGGGTCGCTCAGGGGTCAGGGTGGGGTCACATGGGGGTCACTGTGGGGTCATCAGGGTCACACAAATTTCAGGGCGTGACGTCACGGGATGCCGCGAGCACCCGAGCCTGCCATGACCCCGCCATGACCCCACCGCGACCCCGTGTTGACCCCGCGACGACCCCGTGATGACCCCACGATCATGTCACTATAATCCTGATCCCGTGTTGACCCCGCCATGACCCCACCGAATGGTCACCCAAACCCCGTGTTGAACCCATGTTGACCCCGTGCTGACCCCATCGCGACCCCGCGACCCCACCACAACCCCGCGACCCCACCGCGACCCCGCGCTCACCCCGTCTTGGCGAAGTTGGTCCAGTAGGTCATGACGACGGCGCTGAGCATGACGTCGTCGCGGGAGAAGTTGCAGGCGAAGAGGTCGTTGGCGGCGTCGGCGGCGTCCGCAGTCGCCATGGGGACGCCGAACACGTAGGGGACCTCATCGCCGTGCGCGGCCTCGGCCCCGCCCCCTGCACCCCCGGCCCCGCCCCCCCCGCAGCGGTGGCAGAAGGCGTAGAAGTACGTGGGCGAGCCGTAGCGCGCGTGCAGGTCGGCGGTGGCCACGGCGGGCGCCACCCACTGGTGGTCCGTGAACAGCGCCACCAGCGTCCGCCGCCGCCACGCCGCCCCGCGCTCCCGCGACGCCCAGTCCGTGTACATGAACTTCACCGTCTCCCGCAGCGCCGCGCGCCCGTCCCCGCCGCCGCCGTCCCCGCCGCCGTAGAGCCGGTCGACGAACGTGGCAATGGCGTGGTCGAACGCGGCGGCCCCCACGCCGCCACGCGGGTCCTCGCCGTCGTCGTCGTACGTGTGTTCCGTGTTTTCGCCGTCATGATTCGCACCCGCATCCTCCACGGCGCGACTCGCACTCGCGCCCGCGCGTTCCGCGCCGTCGTATGTGTTTTCCGTGTCGACGTCATGACTCGCACCCGCGCCGTCGTCATCGTACGCGTCTTCCGTGTCTTCGCCGCCGCGACTCGCACCCGCGTCCCCGCCCCCGACGAGGCCGTCCACGAAGCGCAGCCCCTCGCCCTGGTTGACGCCCAGCATGACATCGTAGTTGAGGAACTCGCCCTGCTCCATGAGGATCTGCGGGTCGTCGGGGATCACGTCCCCGTCCACCACCGGCCCGAACGCCACGTGGTACGCCCCCGCCGCCGCCACTCGCACCCAGGGCCGCGACAGCTCCCGCCAGCCCGCGCCCCGCAGGCACTGCACCAGCGCCGACGTGTCCCACGACCCCGGCGACGGCGACCCCGGCGACGACCCCGGCGATGACCCCGGTGATGACCCCGGCGACCCGGGCGATGACCCCGGCGACGACCCCGGCGACGATCCCGGGCCGCAGCCCAGCTGTTCCGCCAGCGCCCGCGCAGACTTGGCCGGCTGGTAGTTCACCGCCCAGCTCGACAGCGCCGTGCCGCTCTGGATGATCGCCTTCTGGAAGAGGCCTGCGGGGGGGGGGGGTCAGGGTGGGGTCAAGGAGGGGGTAACAAACACGGGTCATGGTGGGGTCATGGCAGGGTCAGGGTGGGATCATGTGGGGTCACGGTGGGGTCAGGGCGGGGTCACGTGGGGTCAGGGTGGGGTCACATGGGGTCAGGGTGGGGTCAGGGTGGGATCATGGTGGGGTCAGGGCGGGGTCACGTGGGGTCACATGGGGTCAGGGTGGAGTCACGGTGGGGTCAGGGTGGGGTCACGTGGGGTCAGGGTGGGGTCACGGTGGGGTCATGTGTGGTCACAGAGTCAGGGTGGGGGTCACATGGGGTCATGGTGGGGTCACGTGGGGTCAGGGCGGGGTCCCCCGGGGGTCGTCACGGAGCCGGAGGTCAGCTCACAAGGCCATCACGGGAATCCCCGGCGGGGGTCACGGGTCAGGGGTCGGGGGTCACCGCCGCACGGGGGTCAGGGGTCGGGGAGGTCGGGATCCCCCGGGGGTCGTCACGGATTCGAGTCCCGGGGTGATGCAGGTCCCAAGGTCATCGCGCGCCGCGGGGGGGCCGGGGGTCGCGTGGGGGTCGCGCGGAGGTCGGGGGTCGCGGGGGGGTCGCGGGGGGGTCGCGTGGGGGTCAGGGGTCGGGGGTCCTCACCCTCCGAGTAGTGCGAGAGCGTGAGCAGGCTGACGCAGGAGGCGCCGGCGCCTGAGCCGAACACGGTGACGCGCCCGGGGTCCCCGCCGAAGGCGCCCGCGTTCTCCTCCACCCAGCGCAGCGCCTGGATCTGGTCCAGGAGGCCGTAGTTGCCCCGCGCGGCCTGGTCGCCCGTGCTCAGGAAGCCTGCAGGGGGCAGGGTCACGCAACACGCTAAGCACACGCGGAGAACACGCTGAGCACATGCGGAGAACACGCTAAGCACACGCTAAGATGCTGAGCGCACGTGGGAAATGGGGCGGGTTCACGGGGGGTCGTGGGGGCCTCACGGGGGGTCACGCCGAGCTCAGGAAAAGCAGGGTCGCCAGGGGGTCACGCAGCACGCTAAGCACACACCGAGCACATGCGGAGAACACGCCAGGCACACGCGAAGCACACGTGTGAAATGGGGCAGGGTCATGGGGGGGTCGTGGGGGGCTCACGGGGGTCACACCGAGGTCAGGAAAATTTGCACACGCCAAGCACACGCCGAGCACATGCTAAGTTGTGAAACGGGGCAGGGTCATGGGGGTCACGGGGGGTCGGGGCGGGGTCGTGGGGGTCAAATTGGGGTCAGGAAACGTCGCACACGCCAAGCACACGGTAACGTGTGAAATGGGGCGGGGTCATGTGGGGTCACGACAGGGTCGTGGGGGTCACGCTGAGGTCAGGAAATGCCACACACGCCACACAAGTGAAGCACGGATGGCGTCGCGCGGGGTCACCACTGGGTCACGCACACGCGGACCACACACCCCAAGTGCACGTGAGGCGGGGTCGGGGGTCGCACACGGCACGCACACGCCACGCACACGCGCCCGTGAGGCGAGGTCAGAGGTCAGGGGTCACACACGCCACGCACACGCTACGCACACGCGCCCGTGAGGCGAGGTCAGAAGTCAGGGGTCACACCCGCCACGCACACGCCAAGCGCCCGTGAGGCAGGGTCGGGGGTCGGGGGTCACACACGCCACGCACACGCCAAGCGCCCGTGAGGCGGTGTCGGGGGTCGCACACGCCTCGCACATGCCACGCACACGCCAAGCGCCCGTGAGGCAAGGTCAGGGGTTAGGGGTCGCACACGCCACCCACACGCCACGCACACGCCACGCACCCGTGAGGCGGGGTCAGAGGTCAGGGGTCACACATGCCACGCACACGCCACGCACACGCGCCCGTGAGGCGAGGTCAGAAGTCACGGGTCACACCCGCCACGCACACGCCACGCACCCGTGAGGCGGGGTCAGAGGTCAGGTGTCACACACGCCACGCACACGCGCCCGTGAGGCGAGGTCCGGGGTCAGGGGTCGCACACGCCACGCACACGCCAAGCGCCCGTGACGCGGGGTCGGGGATCACACACGCCACGCACACGCCTCGCACACGCCACGCACACGCCAAGCGCCTGTGAGGCGGGGTCGGGGGTTGCTCACCCAGCACGCCGAGCCGGTAGTTGACGGTGACGACGATGACGTCGCCGTAGCTGGCCAACACGCTGCCGTCCACCAGGTTCCCGCTGCCCTGCATGTAGGAGCCGCCGTGGATGTAGACCATGACCGGCCTCCCGCCGGGGTTGGGGCCGTGGGCGCCTGCGGGGGGGAGAGGGGGTCACGGGGGGGCGTGGTCGCGGGGTCACGGGGGCCCACTTCCTGTTTCCTGCCCCACTTCCTGTTTCCTACCTCACTTCCTGCCCCACTTCCTGTTTCCTGCCCCACTTCCTGTTTCCTGTCCCACTTCCTGCCCCACTTCCTGTTTCCTGCCCCAATTCCTGCCCCACTTCCTGTTTCCTGCCCCAATTCCTGCCCCACTTCCTGTTTCCTGCCCCAATTCCTGCCCCACTTCCTGTTTCCTGCCCCACTTCCTGTTTCCTACCTCACTTCCTGCCCCACTTCCTGTTTCCTGTCCCACTTCCTGCCCCACTTCCTGTTTCCTACCCCACTTCCTGTTCTATTTCCTGTTTCCTGCACCACTTCCTGTTTCCTGCCCTACTTCCTGCCCCACTTCCTGTTTCCTACCCCACTTCCTGTTCTATTTCCTGTTTCCTGCACCACTTCCTGTGTCCTGCCCCACTTCCTGTCCCAGTTCCTGTTTCCTACCCCATTTCCTGCCCCACTTCCTGTTTCCTGCCCCACTTCCTGTCTCATTCCCCACTTCCTGCCCCACTTCCTGTTTCCTGCCCCACTTCCTGTCTCACTTTCTGCCCCATTTCCTGTTTCCTACCTCACTTCCTGTCCCGCCTCCTGCCCCACTTCCTGTCCCGCCTCCTGCCCCACTTCCTGTCCCCTGCCAGACTCCCCCTCCCCTCATGAATATTCACAGATATGCAAATCCGAGCGGCAAATATGCAGATTTATGCAAACGCCGGTCCTCCTCCCCTGCTCCCGGAATCCCACGGTTTGGCGCCGTGACCTCGGGGCAGGGAGGTCGCGCATGCCGTGACCCCGGGGTCACGCGGGGGTCAGGTGCCGTGACCTCGGGGTCGCGGAGAAGGTTCCCGCGACCCCGGGATGCCACAGAAAACGGTTTCCGCGTGGGGTCGTTAAAGAGAAACCGGGAGAAAAAAGACGAGAAAAACGATAAAATCGATAAAACGGCGAAACCGATAAAAATCGATAAAACGACGAAACCGATAAAAATCGATAAAATGATGAAACCGATGAAAATCGATAAGAATGACCAAAAACGATGAAATCGATAAAACAATAAAATCGATAAAACGATGAAACCGATAAAATCGATAAGAATGATCAAAAACGATAAAATCAATAAAACGATAAAATCGATAAAACGATGAAACCGATAAAATCGATAAGAATGATCAAAAACGATAAAATCGATAAAACGATAAAATCGACAAAACGACGAAACCGATAAAATCGATAAAACGATGAAACCGATAAAACGACGAAACCGATAAAATCGATAAGAACGACCCAAAACGATAAAATTCAAAGGTCAACAAAAACCGATAAAATCGATAAAAAAAAAGAAAAAAATCTCGATACCTTCGTCGTGACCGCGCTCGCGACCCGTGATGTCGTCGGCGACTTTCCCCGTGTCGGCTCCTGGGTCGGACGGCGGCGGGGGAGGGGGGAGAACAAAAAAATCAACATGGCGGACACGGACACGGGTGTCCTGACGTCGGGAGACACCGCGAAGACGGGAAAAAAAAAACGTAAAACTCGAGAAAAGCCGGGACGGAGAAAACGGGAAAAAATCCGGGGTCGCGTGTGCGAGAGAAAAAAAAAAACGAGAAAAGAAAACCCGGGGTCACAGGACCGCACACGCGTGATGTGCAGTCGCCGCACGCGTGTCGGCGCCCACGGCGCCCATGGGTGTGACCTCTGACCTCCGCGCGGACGGCGTCGCACGGTGACCTCCCCCGACCCCGTGTGAAACCGCAACGTCATCCGTGCCCTAACCGTGTCCTCCCGTGTAACCCGTGCGCAGAGCGTGCGAATCCCGTGTCCTAAGCGTGTCAGTGTCATCCCGCTTAACCCGTGTCCCAAGCGTGTCCATCAAGCGTAACAAGAGCGTAAACCTCGCGTACTAAGCGCGTCAATCCCATGTTCTTAGCGTGTCCACCCTGTGTAACCCGTGTCCTAAACGAGTCCATCGCCCGTACTAACTGCGTCATCCCGTGTACTAAGCGTGTTGTAACACATGTACCAAGCGTGTTGATCCCGCGTACTAAGCGTCTCAATACCGCGTAAAACGCGAACGAACCGTGCTGTAACCCGTGTCCTAAGCGTGTCAGTGTCACCACAGGTAACCCGTGTAGTAAGCGTGTTGTAACCCGTGTAACAAGCGTGGGAATCCCTCTTAAATGATGTGCTAAGCGTGTTAATCCCATGTCGTAAGCGTGTGATCCCGTGTAACCCGTGTCCCAAGCGTGTCCATCTCGCGTAACTATAGCGCAAACCTCGCGTACTAAGCGCGTCAATCCCGTGTAACCCGTGTACTTAGCGTGTCCATCCCATGTAGTCCGTGTCCGTAGCGTGTTAATCCCGTGTCCGTCCCGTGTCTCACCCGCGGGCGCGTAGACGTTGAGGAACAGGCAGTCCTCGTCCTGGTCCCACACACGCGCGGCCGCGGCCCCCGGGTTGGCGGTCAGCCACACGGGCAGCATCTCCCGCGGCGGGGGCGGTGGCGCCGCGCGGTCCCCGAGCACGGGCTGCGGGCATACGGGTGCGAACTGCGACGCGTCGCGCACGCCCGGCCACGGGGACGGCGGCTCCGGCGCCTGGAACCTCCTTGCGCCCGTCGGCGGCGCAGCGTACGGCACGCCCAGGAACTGGTCCACGGGGTCCAACGCGCTGCCCGGCAGGGGCGCCCGCACCCCGCGCAGCTTCCCGTACCGCGTGGTCACCACCACGGGCGACGCGCGGCCGCCCCACGCCAGGAACACGCAGCAGCACGCCAAGGGCAGCGCCCACGCGCAGCGGCGCGGCGCCATCGGGACGGCGCGGAAACAACACGCGGGGATCCGGGTTCGAGGTCAGCCGCCGCGGGGCGTCCTCATGGCGGGGCCGTCGGGCGCGGGTCGCTCCCGGCGTCCGCGGGGGCTGAGGGGAGATGATCCCGGGGGGAACACGTTACACGCATGTGGACTCAGCGCCCAGCACCCACACGCGAGGTCACGCCTCCCGCGCGCTCACCGTGACATCCGTGTCCCGTGACGCCGCCCGGACCGCGGCTCTGAGGCTCCGCCCAGCTCAGCCCTGCGCGGGGGGGGGCAGGGGGGGACACGGGACACACACGCGTGACGTGCGCACGCCCGGAACGCGGGGAAAAAAGCGTGAAATGAAACACGGACGGACACGCGTGGATGGCGCGGCGGGTTTAATGCGTGACGTGGACATGGAAACGTGTGGAGACGTGTAAATCGTGGAGGGGGGCGGAAAGTAAAAAATAAAAAACACGTGAATATAAAAAAAGTAAAATAAAAAAGTAAATAAAATTAAAAATGAAAAAATTAATTAAAATAAAATAAAAAAATGAATGAAAATAAAACACGGGAGCGGCCAGGGCCACGCGTGACGAACGTCCACACGCACGCACACACGTGGGATGACGTCGCCCGAGGACACGGGATGATGTCACATGATGAGGGGTATGATGTCGCCCGAGGACACGGGATGATGTCGCCCGTTAACGTGATGATGTCGCCCGATAACACGGGATGACGTCGCCCGATGACAGGGGATGATGTCGCCCGTTACCGTGATGATGTCATGCGATGGTCGGGATGATGTCGCCCGTTACCGTGATGATGTCACTCAATAACACATGAGGATGTCACCTGATGACACGGGATGATGTCGCCCGTTAACATGATGATGTCACCCGATGATAGGGATGATGTCACTCGTTAACACGAGACGATGTCTCCCAATGACATGGGATGATGTCGCCCGTTACCGTGATGATGTCGCCCGATAACACGGGATGATGTCACTCGTTAACACGTTGGGATGATGTCGCCCGGGGGACTCGGGTTCGAGGCCTGTGTGGGGGGAAGAGGACGTCAGGCGCGATGGCGTGCTAGGTGCTGCGCTGAGTCCTACCGTGTGCTAGGTGCTGCGCTGAGTCCTCCCGTGTGCTAGGTGCTGCGCTGAGTCCTCCCGTGTGCTAGGTGCTGCGCTGAGTCCTACCGCGCGTGACGGGAGCCGAGTGCGAACAACGCCACCCCGGCGGGGGCGCGCGCGGGTTCGAGCGAAGCGAGTGCGAGCCAATGGACGCGGAGCCCGAGGGACTCAGCCCAGTCCTCTAAGCACCCCGCGGAGGCCGAGGACCCTGGGTGTACTGAGCACCGAGCACCCGCGTCCCTCGGCGGGGCGAAATCATCACGACACCACGGAGCCTCCGCCGGGAGCCGGGTTCGAATCCTGGGAGGAAAAAAAATAAAGAGAATTAAGAAAAAGGAGAAAATGACGTCGTCACGACAAAATAAAAAATAATAAAGCAATATTTTATAATAAAATATGAAACGACAAAAATGATAAAATGCTATCACAATAATAAAATAGAAATAATAATAAAATAATGTTAGTGTAAAACATATAACAAGAATGACACAATATTAGAATGAAATAATAAAACAATACCGTAATAAAACGTAAAATAGTAAAAATAATAAAACAATATTATAACAAAATAATAAAATATAAAATAATAAACATGATAAAATATTACTATAACGAAATAATAAAATGAAATTAATAAAAAATTAAAGAGGAATTGAACAGGGAAATGTGGACGAACCAGGGGACGGGAACGACGGCGTGTAATTAAAATTTTGTGTCTGGCGTGAAAGGAAAAATAGTAGAAAAACGATAAAAATAATATTGTAACGACAAAATAAAAAATGATGAAAATAATAAAGTAATACTATAATAAAATATAAAATGATAAAAAATAAAATGACAAAAAAATAAAAAAATAAAATGACATTATAATAAAATAATAAAATAAGAAATAATAATAAAATAATATTACTATAAAATATATAACAACAAAAATGATAAAATATTATAACGAAATAATAAAATAATATAACAAAATATAAAATAATGAATATAATAAAATATTACTATAACGAAATAATAAAATAAACGATAATAAAATAATATTACAATGAAATATAAAATAATGAAAAGAACAAAATATTGTTATAACGAAATAACGAAATAAAAAATGATGGAAAATAAATAAAATAAGCAATAAATAATAAACAAGGACCCCAAAGCAGGACAGGGGCGGGACCTCCCGGGGTGACTGACAGCTCCGCGCAGACCCCGCCCCCCTCCCCCTCCCCCGCACAGAGAGGGAAAAAATAAAATAAAATAAAAATAAAATATTCAGCCTCCAAAAAAAATATAAAAAAATAATAAAATCCGTGCAGGGGAGGAACGAATGAAGGAGCGGAACGAATGAATGAACCCCCAAAAAAAACCGAGGCTGCAGGGAGCAGGGGAGGGGGGGGAAATAAATTAAATTTTTTTTATTAATAAGAAAATAATTTAAAAAAAAAGAAACATAAAGGAAACGGAATGATAGATTTTTTTTTAAAAAAAAAATAGGGGAAAAATGAAATTAAAATAAATAAAAAAAAAAGCCCGGATGACAACGGAAAAAAATTTAAAAAAATAAAATAAAATAAATAAAATGAGTTAAAACTATACATCGCGAACGGCGACCGGGAACCCGAACCGAAACCGGACCCAACCGGACCCAACCGCTCCCCCCTCCCCCCCTCCCGCGGCGCCAAGATGGCGGCTGGGAAAAAAAAAACCCAAAAATTAATCAAAAAAAAAATTAATTTTCACGGATTTATCAAAAAATTAAAAAAATAATAAAAACACATCCGGGAATTTACACCTTAAAAAAAATCCCCGGATTTTCCCCCTCGGACCCCGGAGCCGCCGTTACCTGCGGCGGCGCGCGCCGCAACCATCCGGGACCCGGCCAATCCGGAAAGAACCCGGATGAAAGAGATCAAAAAAATCAATCAACAAACAAACCGCGATCCATAAACTCGCGCGGCCGAGCCGGCCCGGACCGGTTTCCCCCGGTTTGCCCCCGGTTGGCCACCGGCGCGCGCGCGCAGAGGACGCCGGGGTCGACGCAGCCCCGGGCCCCGCCCCCTCCCTCCGCGGAGGCCCCGCCCCTCCCGCCGCTCCGCGCGCTGATTGGCCGGCACGGACAGCGCATCGGCCAATGGCGGAGGCGGAAGGCCTTGGCGACAGCGGCCGGGGGGGGGGGGGGAACGACTTCCGGTGAGGGGCCGCGGGGGCTTCTGGGAGATGGAGTTCCGCACGGGAATCAACCGCCGCGGAGACGCGGAAACGGGGCAATCAAAGCCGTTTCCGGTTTGTACCGGAAGTGAGGGTGCTCACCGCACAGCCTTCTGGGAGATGTGGTTCCCCGGGTACCGCGTACCGAGCACGGAGGGGCCGCGGAAAAGGAGCAGCCCAGTCCGTTTCCGGTGTGTACCGGAAGTGAGGGTACTCGCCGCAGAGCCTTCTGGGAGCCGTTGTTCCCGGGTACCGCGTACCTAGCACGGGATGGGCCGCGGAACCGGAGCAGCCCAGCCAGGCCGTTTTCGGTTTTTACCGGAAGTTCGGGGGCTCACCGCTGCGCATTCTGGGAGATGTAGTTCTCGCCGAATAACCAAGTACCGGGCACGACGAGGCCGCGGAAACGGGGTTTGTACCGGAAGTTAGGGGGCTCCCCGCAGAGCCTTCTGGGAGATGTAGTTCCCCGGGTACCGCATACCGGGAACGGTGCGGCCGCGGAACCGGCGTAAAGTCGTTTCCGGTTAGTACCGGAAGTCCGGCGGGCTCACCGCAGAGCCTTCTGGGAGACGTAGTTCTCCAGGGATCATCGCGTACCGGTAACTGCGGGACCGCGGAAACCAGGTTTCCCGCGTGTACCGGAAGTTCGGGGGGCTCACCGCAGAGCATTCTGGGAGACGCAGTTCTCCGGGGATCACCGCGTACCGGGCACAGTGCGTCCGCGGAACCGGTGCAAAGGCGTTTCCGGTTTGTACCGGAATTCCGTGGGAATCGCCCCAGAGCATTCTGGGAGATGTAGTTCTTCCGGGATCACCGCGTACCGGCCACAGTGCGGCCGCGGAAACGGTGCAAAGTCGTTTCCGGTTTGTACCGGAAGTCCGGCGGGCTCACCGCAGAGCATTCTGGGAGATGTAGTTCTCCCGGGATCACCGCGTACCGGCCACGGAACCGGTGCAAAGGCGTTTCCGGTGCGAACCGGAAGTTTTGGGTGGAACCGCAGAGCATTCTGGGAGATGTAGTTCCCACGGGAACCCGGTGCGCTCACCTGCGCTCTCCCGGACCCGCAGCTGCAGCACCGAGCACCGCGGGGACCAAGTACCTAGCACCGCGGGTACTGAGCACCGAGCACCGCGGGGACCAAGCACCAAGCACCGTGGGGACCGAGCACCAAGCACCGCGGGGACTCAGCACCGAGCACCAAGCACCCAGCAGACTAAGCACTGCAGGGACCGAGCACCGCGAGGACCAAGCACCAAGCACCGCGGGAACTTAGTACCTAGCACCGCGGGGACTCAGCACCGAGCACCAAGCACCCAGCAGCGGACTGAGCACCGAGCACCCCAGGTACTAAACACCGAGCACCGCGGGGACCGAGCACCGAGCACCATGGGGACTGAGCACCAAGCACCGCGGGGACTCAGCACCGAGCACCAAGCACCCAGCAGCGGACTCAGCACCGAGCACCCCAGGTACTAAACACCGAGCACCGCGGGGACCGAGCACCGAGCACCAAGCACCACAGGGACTCAGCACCGAGCACCAAGCACCCAGCGGACTAAGCACCGAGCACCCCAGGTACTAAACACCGAGCACCATGGGGACTCAGCACAGACCTCAAAGCACCCAGCGGACTAAGCACTGCAGGGACCGAGTACTGCGGGGACCGAGTACCTCGTGTGTACTGAGCACCAAGCACCGCGGGAACTTAGTACCCAGCACCGCGGGGACTCAGCACCGAGCACCAAGCACCCAGCGGACTCAGCACTGTGGGGACCGAGTACCTCGTGTGTACTGAGCACCAAGCACCGCGGGAACTTAGTACCTAGCACCGCGGGGACTCAGCACCGAGCACCAAGCACCCAGCAGAGGACTGAGCACCGAGCACCCCGGGTACTAAACACCGAGCACCGCGGGGACTCAGCACCGAGCACCAAGCACCCAGCGGACTAAGCACCGAGCACCGCGGGGACCGAGCACCAAGCACCCAGCGGACTCAGCACCGAGCACCGCGGGTACTAAGCACCAAGCACCGCGGGGACCGAGCACCGAGCACCAAGCACCCCGCGGTCTGAGCGGGGACCGAGTACCGAGCACCATGGGGACTCAGCACCGAGCACCCAGCGGACTAAGCACCGAGCACCCCAGGTACTAAACACCGAGCACCGCAGGGACTCAGCACAGACCTCAAAGCACCCAGCGGACTAAGCACTGAAGCACCATCACTCAGCACCGAGCACCAAGCACCCAGCGGACTCAGTACTGCGGGGACCGAGTACCTCGTGTGTACTGAGCACCAAGCACCGCGGGAACTTAGTACCTAGCACCGCGGGGAATCAGCACCGAGCACCATGGGGACTCAGCACCGAGCACCAAGCACCCAGCGGACTCAGCACCGAGCACCGCGGGGACTCAGCACAGACCTCAAAGCACCCAGCGGATTCAGCACCGAGCACCAAGCACCGCGGGGACCGAGCACCAAGCACCGTGGGGACTCAGCACCAAGCACCAAGCACCCAGCGGACTCAGCACCGAGCACCAAGCACCCCAGGTACTAAGCACCGAGCACCACAGGGACTCAGCACCGAGCACCGCGGGGACTGAGCACCCAGCACCAAGCACCCAGCGGACTCAGCACTGTGGGGACCGAGCACCCTGTGCATTAAGCACCAAGCACCGCGGGAACTTAGTACCCAGCACCGCGGGGACTCAGCACCGAGCACCAAGCACCCAGCAGAGGACTGAGCACCGAGCACCGCGGGGACTCAGCACCGAGCACCAAGCATCCAGCGGACTAAGCACCGTGTCTCAGACACAGAACCCGGCTGCCTGTGGGCGCGAGAAAGGTCACGGCGCGTGGTGTGAGATAAGTCCCACGCGTGGTGCGAGAAAGGTCACGCGCGTGGTGCGAGAAAGGTCACGCTCTTGTGTGAAATAAGTCCCAGCCGTGGCGTGAGAAAGGTCCCAGGCGTGTGTGTGACATAAGTCCCAGGCGTGTGCGCGAGAAAGGTCACGGGCGTGTGCAAGATAGGTCCCACGCGTGGAGTGAAAAATGTCCCACGTGCTGTGAAATAAGTCCCAGCCGTGGTGCGAGAAAGGTCACACATGAGTGCGAGATAGGTCCCGCGTGCTGTGTGAAAAAGGTCACGCGTGTGTGTGAGATAGTTCCCAGGCGTGGTGCGAGAAAGGTCACACTAGGGTGTGAAATAAGTCTCGCGTACTGTGAAAAAGGTCACGCTAGTGTGTGAGAAAGGTCCCAGGCGTGTGCCGCTCGCACCGCATGTCCCGTGCCTCACGTGTGTCCCCTCCCCCCCCTCCCGGAGGCTCCGCCCTCGTCCGTCTTCCACTTCCCGCCCAGCTCCGACCCGGACCCCGCGACCTCCGCACTTACTCTCTCGATTTTTTATTTTTTTGTAAATTTTTCATCTCGTTCTGACCCCGCCCGCCCGCCCCCCCCCCGTGCGCACGGCGCGGACGGAGCCTGTGACGGTTTTTCCCACGCGCGGAACGCGGTCACGACGGGGAGTCATGTCACGCGCGTGACGTCACGCCCGGCCGTTTTTTTTTTTTTTTTTTTTTTTTTTAGCGGGGATTTTTGATTTTCCCGGTGAAGAAATGAAGCGAAGGGAGGACGCGGGGCGGGGGAACCGGGGGAGAGGCGACGCCGCGTTGAAGTAATGAATTCCTAAACGTTTCTAAATTAATTATTCGTATTTTAATTAAATTAATAACTTTTAAAATTTTAGTTTAATTCGACTTTTTTGTTTCGTTTTTTTTTTTTCATGCGACTTGGGAGCTCGGTCCCCCTGGGTGCTGGGAGCTAAGTTCCCCCTGGGTGCTGAGAGCTGAGTCCACTGGGATCTAATAACTCAGTCCCCTTGTGTGCTGGGAGTTGATTCCTTCCCGGGTGCTGGGAGCTGACTCGCCGCTGGGTGCTGGGAGCTGAGTCTTTCCTGGGTGTTGGTACTTAAGTCCCCCTCCACCCGGCTGCAGGTGGCTCCACCCCCTCTCCCGGTTGGGTGCTGGGAGCTGAGTCCCTCTGGGTGCTGGGCGCTGAGTCCTCCCTGGGTGCTGGGCTGAGTCCTCCCTGGGTGCTGGGAGCTGAGTCCTCCCCGGGTGCTGGGGGCTGAGTCCTCCCTGGGTGCTGGGAGCTGAGTCCTCCTCCCCGCATCTCCGGGCACGCGCGCGGGTGGGCGGGGGGGGGGGGGGGTCACGTGGTCGCGGACCCCACGGTCACGCGGGGGAAGGGGCGGGGCGGGGCCGCCCGCGAGGTGAGCACTTCCTGTCCGTCTGCTCCTCATTTCATGTTGACTTCCTGGATTCTTTATGTCACTTCCTGTGTCTCCGCTTTTTCCCACTTCCTGGTTCCACTCCGCTGACCCCGCCCCCACTTCCTATCCCCGCCACCCACGCCAGCCCCGCCCCCGCTGCCGAGACTCAGGCTCCGCCCACTTCCTGTTTCCTTCCCGGCCCGGAAGTCGCGCAATAAAACCGTCTTTTTCGCCAGGAACAAAGATGGCCGCCGCGGGGTCCGTGAAGGGGGAACAGAGGGAGGACGAGGGGGCGGAGCCGGCCGGAGGGGGGTGGACAGGAAGGGGCGGGGCCGGGGACAGGAAGTGCAGGATTAGAACCAACTTCGCAGGAACGAAGGAATGAAGGAACAATTCAGCGGACGCGCCCGTCCTTTATTCACACCCCCCCCGGCCCAGGAGGTCACAGGGTCACTGGGGTCAGGTGAGGTCAGGGGTCACGGGGGTCAGGTGACGTCACCGCCTCGCCCTCTCGCCCGGGATGGAGCCCTCAGATGGTCTCGGGGTCTGCGCGGGGCGGGAGGAGACAGAGAACAGGAAGTCCCGCCCCCGCCCAGGCCCGTGGAGGAAGCCCCGCCCCATCACTTCCTGTTCCCCCCACCCCCCCCCCCGGTCCTCCCCACGTAAAGAGCGAGGAGAACAAATGACAAGGAGACAAGGGACGGGAAGGGGCGGGGTCACAGAAACAGGAAGTGGGCGTGGTCATGGGGACAGGAAGTGGGCGGGGTCACGGGGAGAGGAAGGGGGCGGGGTCACGGGGACAGGAAGGGGCGGGGCCGTGGGGACAGGAAGGGGCCAGGTCACGGGGACAGGAAGGGGCGGGGTCACAGAAACAGGAAGGGGCGGGGCCGTGGGCAAAAGAAGGGGCGGGGCCGCGGGGACAGGAAGGGGGCGGGGTCACGGGGACAGGAAGGGGCGGCGCTCACCGCGGCGGCCCCGCCCCCTCAGGCATCCCCAGGCATAGCTGACGCAGGTGCCCACGAGCGCCACGACCGAGATGATCGGGGAGACAATGCATGCGATGGTGTTGCCTGCGGGGCGGGGTCAGGGGTCAGGCGGGGGTCAGGCAGGGGTCAGGGGTCACGACCCCCCGGCCCGGGGTCCCCGCGGGGTCGCCGTGGCCGCCTGCGGGGAAGGGGGCGGAGTCACGGCGGGAAGGGGGCGGGGCCGGGCGGGTGATGGGCGGCGAACGGGCAGGAAGTCCCGCCCCCTCCCCCGTTCTCACCTTGGGTGTCATGGCCGCCAATGCCGCCACCGTCGCCTCCACTTCCTGTCGTGGGAGGAAAATGGGAAATGAGCACGAGGGGGGGGGGGAGGAGGGTTGAGGGGGGCGGGGCCGGGGGGGACTCCGTGTCCCAGGATCCTCGGCGTCTCCCAGAATTCCCTGGGGCCCCTGACGGGAAGCGGGCCTCTGGAAGGGAGGGGGGCGGAGGGGGGCAGGGACCGTGTTTCCCAGAATGCACTGCGTTCTGCGGGGGGGAGACTCCATTTCCCAGAGTCCCCTGCGTCCCCGACAGGAAGTGATGTCGTCGCGGACAGGAAGTTGGCACCACAGACCCCTTTTCCCACCGTCCTTTGCGTCTCGGACTCCATTTCCCACAATCCCCTGCGTCCCCGACAGGAAGTGGATGTCCCCCACAGGAAGTGACGTCACAGACCCCGTTTCCCAGAGTCCCCTGCATCCCCGGCAGGAAGTGCGTTCCCGGCATACATTTGCATACATGAATAATAAGCAGCCAAACCCAAGGCCTCTGTGCATATCCCACCGTCCTTTGCGTCCCCGACAGGAAGTGACGTCACAGACCCCGTTTCCCACAGTCCTTTGCGTCCCCGACAGGAAGTGACGTCACAGGCCCCGTTTCCCAGGGTCCTCTGCGTCCCCAACAGGAAGTGCGTTCCCCGCATACATTTGCATACGTGAATAAGTAATAAGCAGCGAAGCCCAGAGGCCTCTGCATCCTGGATGCTCTCCGCATCACATTTGCATAAATATGCATGTCTGCATAATTAGCTCCGCCCCCTCAATGGCATGCAGCCCTGCGGGCACGGGGTCATTTGCATGGCGCCGGGTAAATCTGCATAAATTTGCATGCGTGAGCAGCGGGCATTGTGAGGTCTGGATTGCATGGGGTTCGTTTGGATAAATTTGAATGCATTTGCATAGCTCCGCCCCCGGTGGCGCAGTGGTGCGCACAAGGTCGTTTGCATGGAGACTAATCTGCATAAATTTGCATGCATGAATAGCGGGCACCTGGAGGCCTGAATATGTATGATGGGGTTCGTTTGCATAGATTTGAATGCATTTGCATAGCTCCACCCCTGGTGGCGCAGCATCGTGGGCATGAGATCATTTGCATGGTGCCGGATAAATCTGCATAAATTTGAATGCATTTGCATACCCGCCCATGGGCGGGGGGCCGTCCCCGCATTTGCATGGCCCTCGCATACAATTTGCATAAATTTGCATACACGATGGGGGTCTCACCTCCGAAGCCGTTGGTGTCGCTGGGCTGTGGGCGGGGCTGAGGCTGTGGGCGGGGCTGAGGCTGTGGGCGGGGCCTGGTTGGGGGGTAGACACCTGCGGGGGGGGGGGGGGGGGGGAGAGGACTCAGCGCAGCACCCGGGGAGGACTCAGCGCAGCACCCGGGGAGGACTCAGTGCAGCACCCGGGGAGGACTCGGCGCAGCACCCAGGGAGGACTCAGCACCCAGGGAGGACTCAGCACCCAGGGAGGACTCAGCCCAGCACGCAGGGAGGACTCAGCCCCCAGCACCACTGAGAGGGGAGGACTCAGCACAGCACCACTGAGAGGGGAGGACTCAGCACAGCACCACTGAGAGGGGAGGACTCAGCACAGCACCCGGGAGACTCAGCACAGCACCCGGGAGGACTCAGCGCAGCACCCGGGAGACTCAGCACAGCACCACTGAGCGGGGAGGACTCAACACGGCACCCAGGGGACCCAGCCGAGCACCTGGGGAGAACTTAGCGCAGCACCCGCGGGGCAGGAAGAGTAAGCACACACCACCTGGTATGGGGACTGAGCGCAGCACCCGGCTCCAGGGCGATTCAGCACAGCACCGGGGAGGACTCAGCAAAGCACCCGGGAGAACTTAGTGCAGCACCCGGGGGAAAGGAGGACTCAGCGCAGCACCTGGGGGAAAGGAGGACTCAGCGCAGCACCCATGACTTTACCTCCGCCGTGTGGGTCCGAGGGCAGCGGGTCGGCCGGGAGCTTCGGGTAGAGGCCTGGGGAAGGAGGACTCAGCGCAGCACCCACGGGGCAGGGGGACTGAGCATTCAGCACCCACGGGATGGGAAGACTCAGCGCAGCACCCGGGGCGAGGCGACTTAGCATAGCACTCGGGGAGGACTCACCGCACACCACCCATCCCCGAGGAGGACTCAGCACAGCACCCAGGGGGAGAGAACTGAGCACCGCATCTGGAGGACTCAGCACAGCACCCCTGAGAGGGGGAGGACTCAGCGCAGCACCCGCCTGGAAGGACTTAGTGAAGCACCCGGGGGAAGGGAGGACTCAGCGCAGCACCTGGGGGAAAGGAGGACTCAGCGCAGCACCCGGGGGGAGGGGAGGACTCAGCGCAGCACCCATGACTTTACCTCCGCCGTGTGGGTCCGAGGGCAGCCGGTCGGCCGGGAGGTTCGGGTAGAGGCCTGGGGAAGGAGGACTCAGCGCAGCACCCACGGGGCAGGGGGACTGAGCATTCAGCACCCACGGGGCGGGGAGACTCAGCGCAGCACCCACGGGGTGGGAGGACTCAGCGCAGCACCCGGGGGAAAGGAGGACTCAGCGCAGCACCCACAGGGCGGGACGACTGAGCGCAGCACCCACGGGGCGGGAAAACTCAGCGCAGCACCCACGGGGCGAGGCGACTTAGCACTCGGGGAGGACTCACCATACACCACCCATCCCCAGGGAGGACTCAGCACAGCACCGGGGGGGGGGAGAACTGAGCACCGCATCTGGAGGACTCAGCACAGCACCCCTGAGAGGGGGAGGACTCAGCATAGCACCCACGGGGCAGGAGAAGGGAGCACACCGCCTGGAGGGACTTAGTGAAGCACCCGGGGGGAAAGGAGGACTCAGCGCAGCACCCGCCTGGAAGGACTTAGTGAAGCACCCGGGGGAAGGGAGGACTCAGCGCAGCACCCAGGGGAGGGGAGGACTCAGCGCAGCACCCGGGGGAAGGGAGGACTCAGCGCAGCACCTGGGGGGAAAGGAGGACTCAGTGCAGCACCCGGGGGAAGGGAGGACTCAGCGCAGCACCTGGGGGGAAAGGAGGACTCAGTGCAGCACCCGGGGGAAGGGAGGACTCAGCGCAGCACCCGGGGGGGGGGGAAAGGAGGACTCAGTGCAGCACCCGGGGGAAGGGAGGACTCAGCGCAGCACCTGGGGGGAAAGGAGGACTCAGTGCAGCACCCGGGGGAAGGGAGGACTCAGCGCAGCACCCATGACTTTACCTCCGCCGTGTGGGTCCGAGGGCAGCGGGTCGGCCGGGAGGTTCGGGTAGAGGCCTGGGGAAGGAGGACTCAGCGCAGCACCCACGGGGCAGGGGGACTGAGCATCCAGCACCCACAGGATGGGACGACTGAGCGCAGCACCCACGGGGCGGGAAGACTCAGCGCAGCACCCACAGGGTGGGAAGACTCAGCACAGCACCCACGGGGCGGGGGGACTCAGTGCAGCACCCACGGGGCGGGGGGACTCAGCGCAGCACCCTCGGGGCGGGGGGACTGAGCATTCAGCACCCACAGGATGGGAAGACTCAGCGCAGCACCCACGGGGCGGGAAGACTCAGCACAGCACCCACAGGATGGGAAGACTCAGCGCAGCACCCACGGGGCGGGAAGACTCAGCGCAGCACCCACGGGGCGGGGAGGACTGAGCATCCAGCACCCACAGGATGGGAAGACTCAGCGCAGCACCCACGGGGCGGGAAGACTCAGCGCAGCACCCACGGGGCGGGGAGGACTGAGCATCCAGCACCCACAGGATGGGACGACTCAGCGCAGCACCCACGGGGCGGGAAGACTCAGCGCAGCACCCACGGGGCGGGGAGGACTAAGCATTCAGCACCCCCCCCCCCGGGGTCCCCTGACGGCGTCACTCACCCCCGCTGGGCTTCGAAGTTGGGTCTGGAAGAGAAGAGGACTCAGCGCCGAGCACCCAGGGTACCGAGCACTGAGCACCCAGCACCCAGGGTACCGAGCACTGAGGAACGAGCACTGAGCACCGAGCACCCAGAGTACTTAGCACCCAGCACCCGGAGTACTGAGCACCCAGCACTGAGCACCAAGCACTGAGGAACGAGCATTTTGGGTACTGAGCACCAAGTACCAAGTAGTGAGCACCCAGCACCGAACACCCCGAGTACTGAGCACCAAGCACCCAGCACTAAGCACCCCGAGCACCCAGCACCGAGTACTCAGCACCCAGCACTCACCGGGGTCCAAGGCGTCCGCGAGGTCGAAGTCGCCGCCGTCGTCACCTGCTCGTGGGGGGGGGCGGGGTCAGAGGTCAGAGGAGGACTCAGCACCCAGCACCCGGGGAGGACTCAGCTCCCAGCACCCAGGGAGGACTCAGCACAGCACCCAGGGGAGAACTCAGCACCCAGCACCCGGGGAGGACTCAGCCCAGCACCCAGGGGAGAACTCAGCACCCAGCACCCGGGGAGGACTCAGCCCCCAGCACCCGGGGGACTCAGCACCCAGGGAGAACTCAGCACCCAGCACCCGGGGAGAACTCAGCACCCAGCACCCAGCACCCGGGGAGAACTCAGCACCCAGCACCCAGCACCCGGGGAGGACTCAGCACCCAGCACCCAGCACCCGGGGAGAACTCAGCACCCAGCACCCAGCACCCGGGGAGGACTCAGCACCCAGCACCCGGGGGAGAACTCAGCACCCAGCACCCGGGGAGAACTCAGCACCCAGCACCCAGCACCCGGGGGACTCAGCACCCAGCACACAGCACCCGGGGGACCCAGCACCCAGGGAGAACTCAGCACCCAGCACCCGGGGAGAACTCAGCACCCAGCACCCGGGGAGAACTCAGCACCCAGCACCCAGCACCCGGGGAGGACTCAGCACCCAGCACCCAGCACCCGGGGAGGACTCAGCACCCAGCACCCAGCACCCGGGGAGGACTCAGCACCCAGCACCCAGCACCCGGGGGAGAACTCAGCACCCAGCACCCGGGGAGAACTCAGCACCCAGCACCCGGGGAGAACTCAGCACCCAGCACCCAGCACCCGGGGGACTCAGCACCCAGCACCCGGGGGACCCAGCACCCAGGGAGAACTCAGCACCCAGCACCCGGGGAGAACCCAGCACCCAGCACCCGGGGAGAACTCAGCACCCAGCACCCAGCACCCGGGGAGAACTCAGCACCCAGCACCCGGGGGACCCAGCACCCAGGGAGAACTCAGCACCCAGCACCCGGGGAGAACCCAGCACCCAGCACCCGGGGAGAACTCAGCACCCAGCACCCAGCACCCGGGGAGAACTCAGCACCCAGCACCCGGGGGACTCAGCACCCAGCACCCCGCCCGTCCCGCCCGTTCTCCCGTGACTCAGTTTCCCCCACGCCCCGAAACCGGATCCGCCGGTTCCCGCCGCGCCCCGCGACTCCCGCGTCCCGGCCGCCCCTTCAGAATAAAAGTCCCGCGGTTTTTTTTTAGTACTTTTATTTTTTATTTATTTTTTTTATTAAATTTCCGATTAAATTTTTTTAAATTAAATTTTTAATTTGTTTTTCGCGCGGGCGCCGGAGAGAAACCAGATCGGACCGGACCGAACCGGATCGCGCGCCGGTGTCGCAAAAAAAAAAAGAAAAAGAAAAAAAAATGATCGTTGAATTAAATTTGTTTTTAATTCAATTAGATTTTTAATAAATTTTATTTTTTTTTCCTCCTCCTCCTTCTCCCGCCCGAACCGAAGCGAAAAAAAAAAAACCCGGATGGGCGGGCGCCGAGAAAAAGCCCGGATGATTTGGGGTCTTTAAACCCGGATGTGAACCCCGTGGCTTTTTTAGTTTGGAAAAAAACTCAGGGCGGCGGGGGGGGGGGGGAGGGAAAAATATCAAATTTTAATTAATTAAAAATGAATTCGATTGATTTCCCAAATTTTCGGGTTTTTTTTTGTTTTCGTTCCCTCTCGCGGGATTTTCCCCGAGACTTCCCAGCATGCCCCGCGCTCAAAAAAAAAATAAAAAAATAATAAAAAAATCCCGATTTTTTTTCCGGATTTTTCCGGTTTTTTTTTTTTTTTGCCGTTTTTTTTTTTCCGGCCCCGCCCCCTCCCACCCGGCCCAGGCCCCGCCCCCCCGGTGACGTCACCGCGCCCCCCCCTCACCGCGCACGCGCAGCAGCAACGGCAGCGCCAGGAGCAGCAGCAGCGGCGTCGCCATCGTCGTCGCCGTCGGGGAAACTGAGGCAGCGGCGGCCGCGGGCGCAGCATCCGGGGATTTTCTTCCAGCATCCGGGGACTTTTTCCGCGGGCGGCGGTGCTGGGGACTCGGTTCTCCCGGTCGGACCGGTTCCCGCCGTGACGTCAGCCGTGATGTCGTCAGCCGGGGGCGGGGCTTCCCGGCCGGCCTGGAGCGGCGTGCGGCAGGGGGATGCCCGGTTTGGAAGTGAGGATTTTTTTATTTTATTTTTTTTCTGCTGCAGGGGGATGACTGTTTTGAAAATTAGATTTTTATTTTCTGCGGCAGGGGGATGCCCGTTTTGGAACTTGGATTTTTATTTTCTGCGGCAGGGGGATGCCCGTTTTGGAAGTGTGAATTGTATTTTTTCTGCGGCAGGGGGATGCCCGTTTTGGAACTTGGATTTTTATTTTCTGCTGCAGGGGGAACCCCGTTTTGGAACTTGGATTTTTATTTTCTGCGGCAGGGGGATGCCCGGTTTGGAATTTAAAGTTTTATTTTTTTCCCCCCAGCTCGGAGCTGCGGCAGGGGGATGACTATTTTGGAAGTTAGAATTTCCCCCCCCCCGCCAGCTCGGAGCTACCGCAGGGGGATGACCGGTTTGAAACTTAAATTTTTTTTTTCGGCTCAGAGCTACTGCAGGGGGATGACCGTGCTGAACTTTAAATTTTTTTCTCTCTCTCAGCTCGGAGCTACTGCAGGGGGATGACCGGTTTGAAACTTTTTTTTCTTTCTCTCTGCCCGGAGCTACCGCAGGGGGATGACCGTGTTGAAACTTAAACTTTTTTTTCTCTCTCCGCCCGGAGCTACCGCAGAGGGATGACCGGTTTGAAACTTTTTTTTCCTCTCTCCGCCCGGAGCTGCGGCAGGGGGATGACCGTGCTGAACTTTAAATTTTTTTTTCTGCAGCAGGGGGATGACCGTGTTGAAACTTAACTTTTTTTTTCCTCTCTCTCTGCCCGGAGCTACTGCAGGTGGATGACCGTTCTGAACGTTAAACATTTCATAGTTTAGGAGCTGCGGCAGGGGGATGACCGTGTTGAAACTTAAAACTTTTTTTTCTCTCTCCGCGCGGAGCTACCGCAGGGGGATGACCGTGTTGAAACTTAAACTTTTTTTCCTCTCTCAGCCTGGAGCTACCGCAGGGGGATGACCGGTTTGAAACTTTTTTTTCCTCTCTCAGCTCGGAGCTACCGCAGGGGGATGACCGGTTTGAAATTGTTTTCCATTTTTTTTTCTCTCTCCGCCTGGAGCTGCGGCAGGGGGATGACCGCCACCGCCCCGTCGCCCGTGACGTCACCGGGCCCCGCCCACCCCCGCGATGGATTGACAGGCGGACACCGAGGGCTGGGGGGGGCAAAGCGTTTATTACGACGGTGGCAGCGGCGGGGTCACGCAGGGGTCACGACTTCACAGGGGCCCCGGGGTCCAGCCTGGGCTCACGGGACTACGACGGGGACGCCCGAAAAAAAAAAAATTAAATAAAAAAAAAATCGGGAAATTTTCGGATTTTTAATTAAAAAAATTTTATATAAAAAAATTAATTTTATTTCTCTTCAATTTTTTCCTTTTTTTGGGGGGGGGAGGGGGAGGGGGGGGGAATAAAAAAGACAGGAAATGAATGAAAAAAAAAAAATAATAAAATAAAAATAAAATCACAACAAAAGTGAGTTTTTTCCCCTCCCCAACCCCCCCCGCCAAAATAAAAGTCGGGAATAAAAAAAAAATAAAATAAAAATAAAAAATTTGGAAATCAAATAAAAAAAAAATAATAATTCCCCACCTCCTCCCCCCTCGCCCCTGGGGGGGGATTGGCGGTGATTTGCATACATGCAAACGATATGCAAACGACGCAGGGGAGGCGGGGCCGGGCGTGGGCGGGGCTTTGGCGGCTGCGTAGGAGTTCGGTTGCTTGGTCGCTTGGTGCTGGATGTCATCGCGGCAGGGGGGCGGGGCCCTAGACGGGGGCGGAGCCTGTGGGGAGGGGGCGGGGCGGGCAGGGACGCGTCCGTCATCAGAGGAAGCCCCGCCCCTCGCCCCAAGCCCCGCCCGTCACCACGCAAGCCCCGCCCCCTGGCCCCATAGGCCCCGCCCCTCACGCTCTCCGAGGCTCCGCCCCACCCGGAAGCCACGCCCACTCGCCCCCTAGGCCCCGCCCCCTGATCCCGCAGGAGGCCCCGCCCCTCGCCTGTGGTGGCCCCGCCCCTGCCCCGCACCCATCTGGCCCCGCCCCCGTCCTCACCGTGCTCCTGGAAGCACAGCCTCCGCCTCTGGTAGGCCACGAAGCTCGAGACGGCGCCAGCAACCGCGGCCACCGCGGCCCCGATGAGGCCGGGGACCAGGCCCTGGGGGGCGGAGCCTGCGGGGTGGGGGGGGGGCGGGTGCTGTGCTCGGTACTCCCCGGGTGGGTGCTGCGCTGAGTCCTCTTTTCCCTCTCCTTCCTTGGGTGCTGTGCTGGGTCCTCCCCTCCCCTCTCTCCCGGGTGCTGCACTGAGTCCTCCCGGGTGCTGCGCTGAGTCCTCCCCTCTCCCCCGGGTGCTGCGCTGAGTCCTCCCCTCGGGTGCTGCGCTGAGTCCGCCCCCCTCCCCCGGGTGCTGCGCTGAGTCCTCTCCTCCCCCCCCCCCCCCCCCCCGCACTGAGTCCTCCCCTCCCTCCTGGGTGCTGCGCTGAGTCCTCCCCTCCCCCCGGGTGCTGCGCTGAGTCCTCCCCTCCCCCCGGGTGCTGCGCTGAGTCCTCCCCTCCCCCCAGGGTGCTGCGCTGAGTCCTCCCCTCCCCCCAGGGTGCTGCGCTGAGTCCCCCCCTCCCCCCGGGTGCTGCGCTGAGTCCTCACCGTCCGCCTCAGGCTCCTCCTCCCCTTGGGGTCCTTGGCCTCCACCTGGGGAAGAGAAACAACAACGACGTCACCGTGGGCGGGGCCTGCGGGGCGATGACGTCATCACAGTGGGCGGGGCCATGATGTCACCAGGGCCATGGCATGGCGGGTGGGCGGGGCTATGACATCACTGGTGGGCGGAGCCATGACATCACCGGTGGGCGGGGCCACGAAACTGCCGTGGGCGGGGCTATGACATCACCAGGGTTGCGACATCACAGTGGGCGTGGCCTCACCTTTGCCCCCAGCGGCGTCTTCCAAGTCCTTGTTGGAGAAGTCGCCTGGGAGGGGTCGGATTTGCATAAAATTAGCATGGATCTGCATAAAATTAGCATGGATCAGCATACGGAGCTGAGGAAATGGCCTGATTTGCATAAATCACCATGGATTTGCATGGCATGGGGGCTCATTAGCATGGATTAGCATACGGGGCCAAGGACGTGGCCTGATCTGCATAAATTAGCATGACAGGGGCCTCATTAGCATATGGAGCCAAGGCCTGATCTGCATAAATTAGCATGGATTTGCATGGCAGGGGTCTCATTAGCAGCTGGTTATTAGCATGCACCCGCATAAATCACCAGCAGCCCGATTAGCATATATTTACATAAGCGGATCGTGTGTCTCCCCGGGCTCATTTGCATGGATTTGCATAGCGGTGAGCCACAACCACCTAGCACATGCCAGCGAGGCCTCCTCATTAGCATGCATTTACATACCCGGTCGTTAGCATACATTTGCATACCGCCCTGCAAAGCCCGAGGGGTTCAAGGTCGTTAGCATAAATTAGCATCTCAGCGGCACGCGGGGAGGAGCTCATTAGCATGCGTGGGACCTGATTAGCATACGCCAGAGTTAGTCCCGCCCAACACGAATCCCTCATTAGCATAAATTAGCATCTCATTGACTGGCCTCTCAAAGGACTTCAGCACACGCCAACCTAATTAGCATGTGGAGCCCCACCCCCTCGTTAGCATACTCCCGCATGGCACCGCCCCTCATTGGCATAAATCAGAATATCCCCTCATTAGCATAAATCTGCGCCGCCCCGCCACTAATTAGCATAGACCTGCTCTGCCCCGCCCTCTCATTAGCATGAACAAGCATGGCTTCTGCATGCTCCACGCCTAATTAGCATGTGGAGCCCCACCCCCTCGTTAGCATAAATCTGCACGACCCCGCCCCTCGTTAGCATAGGTCTGCTTTTGCCCCACCCCTCATTAGCATAAATCCGCATGACTTCGGCATACGCCATGCCTGATTAGCATGTGGAGCCCCGCCCCCTCATTAGCATAAATCTGCATTGCCCCACCCCTCCTTACCTCCCGAGAGCTCGGACTCGTGATCCGGTTTCGGCTTGGGCCTGGGTGGCGGGGGGGCGGGGTCTGCGGGTGGGAGGGGGCGGAGATTTCCCATGATGCCCCGGGCCGCACGGGGTCTCCCCACGCCCGCCCCTGCGGCCCCAGCACCCGGGAGTACTCAGCACCCAGCACCCGGGGAGAACTCAGCACCCAGTACCCGGGGAGGACTCAGCCCCCATCACCCAGGACTCAGCACCCAGCACCCAGGGAGGACTCAGCCCAGCACCCAGGGAGAACTCAGCCCCCCAGCACCCAGGACTCAGTACCCAGCACCCGGGACTCAGCACCCAGCACCCGGGACTCAGCACCCAGCACCCAGAGCACCCAGGACTCAGCACCCAGCACTCAGCACCAAGCACACAGGACTCAGCACCCAGCACCAGGACTCAGCACCCAGCACTCGCATCACCCAGCACCCAGGACTCAGCACCCAGCACCCAGGACTCAGCACCCAGCACCCAGGACTCAACACCCAGCACCCAGCACTCAGCACCCAGGACTCAGCACCCAGCACCCAGATCACCCAGCACCCAGATCACCCAGCACCCAGCAGACTCAGCACCCAGCACCCAGGACTCAGCACCCAGCACCCGGATCACCCAGCACCCAGGACTCAGCACCCAGCACCCGGATGACCCAGCACCCAGGACTCAGCACCCAGGACTCAGCACCTAGCACTCAGCACCCAGGACTCAGCACCCAGCACCCAGGACTCAGCACCCAGGACTCAGCACCCAGCACCCAGGACTCAGCACCCAGCACCCAGGACTCAGCACCAAGCACCCAGGACTCAGCACCCAGCACCCAGGACTCAGCACCCAGCACCCAGGACTCAGCACCCAGGACTCAGCACCCAGCACCCAGGACTCAGCACCCAGGACTCAGCACCCAGCACCCAGGACTCAGCACCCAGCACCCAGCACTCAGCACCCAGGACTCAGCACCCAGCACCCAGATCACCCAGATCACCCAGCACCCAGATCACCCAGCACCCAGCAGACTCAGCACCTAGCACCCAGCACCCAGGACTCAGCACCCAGCACCCGGATCACCCAGCACCCGGATCACCCAGCACCCGGATCACCCAGCACCCAGCACCCAGGACTCAGCACCCAGGACTCAGCACCCAGATCACCCAGGACTCAGCACCCAGCACTCAGCACCCAGATCACCCAGGACTCAGCACCCAGCACTCAGCACCCAGTACCAAGGACTCAGCACCCAGCACCCAGGACTCAGCACCCGGATCACCCAGCACCCAGCACCCGGATCACCCAGCACCCAGCACCCCCGGGGTCCCCCCAGGGCCGCCCCTCACCGTCTCCGCCTCCCAGGGCGTCGCTCAGGTCCAGGTCTCCGCCTGTGGGGGGGGGAGGGTCGGGCTAGCCTCAGCAAACCGGAAGTGAAGGGAGGGGGCGGGGCGAGCCCGGGGTTCCCCCAGTCGCTGCCTCAGTTTCCCCACACCACGACCTCACCCGACGGCGGAGGCTTCTTGGGCGGCGACGTCGGCTTCTTCGGTTCTGGGGGGGGAAAAATTTAGGGAAATTTTATTAAATTCATTAAATATTCAAAATTTTATTAAATTCATTAAATATTAAATATTAAAAATTTTGTTAAATTTATTTATTATTAAATATTAAAAATTTTATTCGATTTATTTATTAAATATTAAAATTTTATTAGATATATTTATTAAAATGTTAAAAATCTTATTAGATTTATTTAATTTTAAATATTTTATTAAATGTAGTTATTAAATATGAAATTTATTTATTAAAAATGTTAAAAATTTTATTAGATTTATTTAATTTTAAATATTTTATTAAATTTAGTTATTAAATATGAAATTTATTTATTAAAAATGTTAAAAATTTTATTGGATTGATTAAAAAATTGATCAAGAGATTTGTTCCAATAAAAAAAAATAGAAGAATGAAAAAATTTCATTTTTGCCTCCCCTTAAAAAAAAATTCATTTCTTCATTTTTTTGGCCCATTAAAGATTTGTTCCAAAAAAATAACAGACGAATGAACAAACTTCATTTTTGCCTCCTCCCCTTAAAAAAATTTCATTTCTTCATGTTTTTGAACATTTTCTTATTAAATTTATTTAATATTAAATATTAAAAATTTTATTAAGCATATTAAAAAATTGATCAAAAAAGATTTGTTCCAAAAAAAAAAAAATAGACGAACGAAAAAATTTCATTTTTGCCTCACAAATATTTCATGCCTTCATTTTCCTTTTTTTTTTTTCCTGAAATGGAAATTTTCCGTTTATTTATTTATCTGTTTTCATTTATTTATTATTTATTAATTTTTAAGACCGGAATTTCCTGGTTTTTTTTTTTTTGGCGGGAAGCCTCGGCCCCGCCCCCGCCCCACTCACCGTCGAGCACGTCCGAGAGGTCGAAATCTGTAAGGAAAAAATAAATAAAAAATTTAAAAAAAATTAAAAATTAAAAAAATTATTAAAAATTAAAAAAAATTAAAAATTAAAAAAATTAAAAATTAAAAATTGAAAAAATTAAAAAAGTTATTAAACATTAAAAAAAATTAAAAATTAAAAAATGTCACAACCCGTGAGTCATTTTTTTTCCCCCTCCACCCACGCGGACGCCCAGGGCCGCACCCGCCCGGCCCTGAGTCACCGCGTCACGTGACCCCGCCCCTCCCGCCCGCGTCACGTGACCCCGCCCCCGCCCCGCGTCACGTGACCCCGCCCCTCCCCTCCCCGGGAATCCCCGCCCCTCGGGGTTTGTTGATTGACTTCACGAGAACGCGGTCCGGAGTGGGAGGGGGCGGGGCGAAGGGCGGGGCCCGAGTCACGTGGGCCCTGGAGTGGGGGGAGGCGGGGGTGTGGGCGGGGCCGGGCGGGGCGCACGGCATGCCGGGAGCCGCCGCGCCCCAAAAGTTTTTAAGAAGAAAAAAAAAAAAATTCCAAAAAAATAAAAAATTTCAAAAAAAAAAAAAAAAAAAAAAAAAAACCTCGGCGGCGGCAGCGGCGGCGGCGGCGGGAAAAAAATGTCCCAGCGTGCCCCGCGCGCGCCGCGGCGGGAGCTGCGGCCGGGGATTGACGGCGAAGGGGAGGGAGGCGGAGGCGCGGACTCCTAGGCGCCCGCCGCGGCCCCACGCGCGGAACCCGGACCCCGCCGCGACCCCTCCGTGACCCCCGCCGCGACCCCTGACCCCGCCCCGACCCCCCCGACCCCGCTCACCCTGGCCCCGGCCGAGGCCTCCGAGCAGCGCGAACGCGAAGACGAGCAGGAGCGCGGGAGCCATGACCGCGGCCGTGATTGAGGGCGGGCGGGGACTACATTTCCCAGGAGCCTCGGCGGCCGGGACCGGAAGTGCTTAGGGTCGAAACCGGAAGTGCCCTTTCTTCGGGCTCTAAGGGTCCGTTGTGAGTCCCGGAAACTACATTTCCCAGGAGCCTCGGCGGCCGGGACAGGAAGTGCCCAGTGGCGAACCGGAAGTGCCCTTTTCCTCGGGCTCTAAGCCTCCGTATCTGATCCCGGAAACTACATTTCCCATGAGGCTCAGCGGCTGGGACAGGAAGTGCTTAGGGTCGAAACCGGAAGTGCCCTTTCCTCGGGCTCTAAGGCTCCGTATCTGATCCCGGAAACTACATTTCCCATGAGGCTCGGCGGGCGGGACCGGAAGTGTTCGGCGCAGGGTTTTTTTTTTTTTTTTTTAGCTCCGAGGTTCCGTTTCGGGTCCGAGAAACTACAATTCCCAGGAGGCTCGGCGGCCGGGACCGGAAGTACCTTTCCCTGGGCTCTAAGCCTGCGTTTCGGGTCCGGGAAACTACATTTCCCAGGAGGCTCGGCGGGCGGGACCGGAAGTGCTCTGGGACAACACCGGAAGTACCCTTTCTTCGGGCTCTGAGGCGCCCGTTCCGCCATCTTTGTAGTCCTCCGGTTTTCCGGTGCGGCGCGGAGACCGGAAGTGCTCGGCGCAGGCACAGGAAGTCCCGCCCCGCCTCCGCCGCCGCCGGCGTCACGGGGGGGGGTCGCGCCGGGGTGACGTCACGATGCAGTCGCTGGTGTCGCCGGTGACCAAGGCGCTGCTGGTCGCGCTCTTCATCTTCGCCATCCTCCTCATCCTCTACGTCATCCTCTGGTACATCTGCCGCGACGTCGACTGCGACCACGGCCTCTGACCCCGCGCCCCGCCCCTGTGACGTCACGCCCCGCCCCCCGGGTCCCCGCGCGCCCCCGTGACGTCACCCGCGGGTGAGGACGGGAAAAAAAAAAAGATCCGCCGCGTTGGTTGATTGACTTCGCGATGGTAAAAAAAAAAAAAAAAAAGACGTGACCCCTGACCCTTCCCCCGTGACCCCCTGACCTCCCCGTGACCCCTCCCTGACCCCCGACCTCCCCGTGACCTCCCCGTGACTCCTGCCTTACCCCCTGACCTCCCTGTGACCCCTGCCTGACCCCCTGACCTCCCCGTGACTCCTGCCTGATGCCCTGACCTCCCCCTGACCTCCCTGTGACCCCTGCCTGACCCACCCGAGACTCTCTGTCCTCGTCTTGACCTCTCATGACCCTGTGACCCCAGGGGAGGGGGCGGAGTCCTCGGGGGACAGGAAGTGACCTCAGCGGCCTCGACCTCTGACCTTGGACTCTGGAGAGACCGCGCTGAAACATATTTAATTCGGAAATTTAAAATTTCGGTGGCTCATTTGCATGCGGATTTAAATATTTGGGGGCGGCCCCTCCACCGGGTGGGGTCTATCTGCGCTCGGACCCGCATCAATTTGCATAAATCTGCATATATGCGTGCGAAATTGCATAAATCTGCATACATTTGCATGAATTTCATTGCTTGATGGATTTTCACTTTTTCCTTATTTCCCCCTTGCCCGGCTCATTTGCATATCCCCGCCCACCCTGACCCGGCCCCGCCCCCTCTCTCCCAGCAGGCCACACCCCCCCGCCATGGACGCCCTAGGCCCCCGGGGTTTCCGATGACGTCACCGCCCGATGACATCACCACCCGATGACGTCGCCGCCCGATGACATCACCACCCGATGACGTCGCCGCCCGAATGATGACATCACCGCCCAATGACGTCGCCGCCCGATGACATCACACCGCCCGACGACATCACGCCGCCCAAATGATGACAGTCGCCACCTGAACGATGACGTCACCACCTGAATGATGACGTCGCCGCCAGAACGATGACATCACCGCCCGATGACATCACACCGCCCGAATGATGACGTCACCGCCCGAACGATGATGTCGCCGCCAGAACGATGACATCACCGCCCGATGACATCACCGCCTGATGACATCACCGCCCGATGACATCACACCGCCCAAATGATGACGTCGCCGCCCTATGACATCACCGCCCGAACGATGACGTCGCCGCCAATGATGACATCACCGCCTGATGACATCACCGCCCGATGACATCACCACCGCCTCCAGCCATCTCGCGCTGCGTGCCTCCTCCCCCCCTCCCCACGTGACGACATCTTGCGTAGGCCCTGCCCCTGCCGGACGCCGCCATCCGTCACGTGACGCCATTTTCTACCATGTAGAGAGATCGCCCCGCCCCCCATTACCCCCCCCACCCCCGACCCTTGACCCCCCCTTACGACGTCACAGGAAGTGACGTCGCCGCCGCCCGCGGAGGGACATCGCCCGCCAATAAAGGAAAAGGTATTTTTGAGCCCGGTTGGTGTGTGTGGCTGTCAATCAGCGGCGGAGGGGGGGGTGGCCCCGCCTCCCGATGACGTCACTCTCGGGTCGGGCCCGCCCACCGCCGCCCCCCGCTGTCAATCATCGGAGCTGGGGTCCGCCCAGGTCGGGTGTCACGTGATTAGCAGGTGGTGGGCGGGGTCATCCTGTGCACTTCCTGCCTGTGGGGGGGGGGGCGGGAGGACACCCACTTCCTGTCGGGGGGCGGGACCATCACGCGCCAGCCGTGGGACTTCGTTTCCCAGAGGGCCCTGCGGTGGCGACAGGAAGTGGGTCCCAGATGGACAGGAAGTTGGTATTGGAGGGACAGGAAGTGGGCACAGGAGGGACAGGAAGTAGGTACAGGAAGGACAGGAAGTGGTCCCGGAGGGACAGGAAGTGGGTCCAGGAGGGACAGGAAGTGGGTCCCGGAGGGACAGGAAGTGGGCACAGGAGGGACAGGAAGTGGGCACAGGAGGGACAGGAAGTGGTCCAGGAGGGCCAGGAAGTGGGCACAGGAGGGACAGGAAGTGGGCACAGGAGGGACAGGAAGTGGGTCCCAGATGGGCAGGAAGTGGGCACAGGAGGGACAGGAAGTGGGTCCCAGAGAGACAGGAAGTGGGTCCAGGAGGGACAGGAAGTTGGTCTTGGAGGGACAGGAAGTTGGTCTTGGAGGGACAGGAAGTGGGCACAGGAGGGACAGGAAGTGGGTCCAGGAGGGACAGGAAGTGGGTCCAGGAGGGACAGGAAGCTGGTTATGGACAGGAAGTGGGTTCAGGAGGGACAGGAAGTGGGTGCAGGAGGGACAGGAAGTGGGCACAGGAGGGACAGGAAGTGGGCACAGAAGGGACAGGAAGTGGGTCCTGGAGGAACAGGAAGTGGGTCCAGGAGGGACAGGAAGTGGGAACAGGAGAGACAGGAAGTGGGCGCAGGAGGGACAGGAAGTGGGCACAGGAGGGACAGGAAGTGGGCACAGGAGGGACAGGAAGTGGATCCAGGAGGGACAGGAAGTGGGCAAAGGAGGGACAGGAAGTGGGTCCAGGAGGGACAGGAAGTGGGCAGAGGCGTGACAGGAAGTCTATCCAGGAGGGACAGGAAGTGGATCCAGGAGGGACAGTAAGTGGGCACAGGCGGGACAGGAAGTGGGTCCCGGAGGGACAGGAAGTGGGCTCAGGAGGGACAGGAAGTGCGCACAGGAGGGACAGGAAGTGGGCACAGGAGGGACAGGAAGTTGGTCTTGGAGGGACAGGAAGTGGGCACAGGAGGGACAGGAAGTTGGTCTTGGAGGGACAGGAAGTGGGTCCCGGAGGGACAGGAAGTGGGCACAGGAGGGACAGGAAGTGGGTCCAGGAGGGACAGGAAGTGGGTCCAGGAGGGACAGGAATTGGTCCCAAATGAACAGGAAGTGGGCACAGGAGGGACAGGAAGTGGGCACAGGAGGGACAGGAAGTGGGCACAGGAGGTACAGGAAGTGGGCACAGGAGGTACAGGAAGTGGGCACAGGAGGGACAGGAAGTGGGTCACGGAGAAACAGGAAATGGACCTCTCTCACACAGGAAGTCGCTTTATTGGCCCCGCCCCGCCCTCCCCGCCCCGATGACCTCACTTCTTGGCCAGCATGACCTCGAGGTCGCCCCCGGTCGGGCGGCGCTGGAAGTGGGCGAAGCCGGCGGCGGCGGCCATGGCGCGGAACTCGGCCTCCATGCGCTCGCGGCCGCGCGTCTGCAGCAGCATCGTCAGCGACATCAGCAGCGCGCGCGCCGGGCCGCGGCCCCCGGGGGTCAGCACGGCCTCGACCAGGAGGACGGCGGAGTCTGGGGGGTGACGGGGGGGACGCCCGTGGTGACCCCGTGACCTCTGGGTGACCCCTGTGACCCCCTTAATCCCTGGGTGACCTCTGGTTGACCCATGGGTGACCTCTGTGACCCTGTGTACCCATGACCTCTGTGTGACCTCTGGGCGACCTCTGTGACTCCCGTAATCCCAGGGTGACCTCTGGGTGACCCATGGGTGACCTCTGTGACCCCTGTGTACCTATGACCTCTGTGTCCTCTGGGCGACCTCTGTGACTCTCATGACCCCTGGGTGACCTCTGTGTGACCTCCGTGACGCCTCGATCTCCGTGACCCCTGGGTGACCTCTGCGACCCCCTCCATGACCCCACGGGTTCCATGACCCCTGTTTGAACTCGGTTCCTCCTGGGTGACCCCCGTGACCTCCGGGCGACCTCCGTGACCCCCGCGACCCCCAACCGCGACCCCCGCGACCCCCGCCCGCCGCCGCTGACCCGGTCCGCCCGCGCGCCCGATCCTCCCCAGCAGCCGCGCGGCGTCCGCGTCCGTCCAGTCGTGCAGGACCCGGCCCAGGATGTAGAGGTCGGCGCGCGGGAGCGGGGACCGGAAGAAGTCGCCTGGGGGTCAAGGGGTCAAGGGGTCAGGGGGCGGGGCCTCCGGGGTCACGGGGGTGATGGGGCGGAGAAATCCCATCCCCCGATGCGTGATGGACAGGCGGGCGGGGCGGGGGCCCGCCCACCCAATACAGGAAGTGCCCGCACAGGAAACAGGAAGTGCTCACGCAGGGCACAGGAAGTGCCTGGACAGGAAACAGGAAGTGCCCGGGGTTGGGACCCGGAAGTGCCCGGACTGGACACAGGAAGTGCCCGGACAGGAAACATGAAGTGCCCGGACTGGACACAGGAAGTGCTCACGCAGGGCACAGGAAGTGCCCGGACAGGAAACAGGAAGTGCCCGGACACAGGACACAGGAAGTGCCCGGACAGGACACAGGAAGTGCCCGCACAGGACACAGGAAGTGCCCGGACAGGACACAGGAAGTGCCCAGACAAAAAACAGGAAGTGCCCGAAGAGGAAACATAGGAAACAGGAAGTGCCCGGACAGGAAACAGGAAGTGCCCGGGCAGGACACAGGAAGTGCCCGCACAGGACACAGGAAGCGCCCAGACTGGACACAGGAAGCGCCCGTGCAGGAAACAGGAAGTGCCCGGACAGGACACAGGAAGTGCCCGGACAGGACACAGGAAGTGCTCGTGCAGGAAACAGGAAGTGCCCAGACAGCACACAGGAAGTGCCCTGCATGACACAGGAAGTGCCCGGACAGGACACAGGAAGTGCCCGGACAGGACACAGGAAGTGCCCAGACAAAAAACAGGAAGTGCCCGAAGAGGAAACATAGGAAACAGGAAGTGCCCGGACAGGAAACAGGAAGTGCCCGGGCAGGACACAGGAAGTGCCCGGAGAAAACACAGGAAGTGCCCAGACAGGACACAGGAAGTGCCCGGACAGGAAACAGGAAGTGCCCGGACACAGGACACAGGAAGTGCCCGGGGTTGGGACCCGGAAGTGCCTGGACAGGAAACAGGAAGTGCCCGGACAGGAAACAGGAAGTGCCCCCGCCCCAGGCCCCGCCCCTCACCCACCTCCCAGGAAGCGGACGGGCGGGTCCCCCCGTGGGCGCCGGAAGTGGGCGCGGGCGGCGGCGACGACGTCGCAGGTGTCGAACATGGACACGGAGCTGGCGGGGTGGAGGCGGGCGCAGGCCGCGGCCAGGGCTCCGGAGCCGCCTGGGGGACGGGGGGACTCAGCGCAGCACCCGGGGGGAGGGGAGGACTCAGCGCAGCACCCGGGGGAGAGAGGAGAGGACTCAGTGCAGCTCAGCGCAGCACCCAGGAGAGAGGGGAGGACTCAGCGCAGCACCCGGGGGGGAGGGGACTCAGCGCAGCACCCCGGGGGTTAGGGGAGGACTCAGCGCAGCACCCGGGGGGGGGAGGACTCAGCGCAGCACCCGGGGGAGAGGAGGACTCAGCGCAGCACCCGGGGGAGAGGGGAGGACTCAGCGCAGCACCCGGGGGGAGGGGAATACTCAGCGCAGCACCCAGGAGAGAGAGGAGGACTCAGCGCAGCACCCAGGGGAGAGGGGAGGACTCAGCGCAGCACCCAGGGGAGAGGGGAGGACTCAGCGCAGCTCAGCGCAGCACCCAGGGGAGAGGGGAGGACTCAGCGCAGCACCCCGGGGGCCGGGCCTCACTGCCGACATCACAGATGACCCTGAACTCCGAGAGGTCAAAGGCCGTGAGCACCCGGGCGCCGTAGACGCTCCAGGTATCCTGCAGGGCGTGCATGAAGAGCAGGCGCTCGGCGCGGGCCCTGGGGGCGGGGCCTGGGGTGAGGGGCGGGGCCTCCTGGGGCGAGGGGCGGGGCCTCCTGGGGCCAGTGCCTCGAACAGGCCGAGGTTGGAGGCCGTGAAGAGGACCTGGGGGGGGCGGGGAGGACTCAGCGCAGCACCCGGGGGGACTGAGCGCAGTATGGGGGGGGGACTGAGCACAGCACCCGGGGGGATTGAGCGCAGCACCCGGGGGGGGGGACTGAGCGCAGCACCCGGGGGGGGGGGGGACGGGGGTACTGAGCGCAGCACCCGGGGGGGTGGGGACAGGGGTACTGAGCGCAGCACCCGGGAGGATGCGGACTCAGCACCCAGGGGGACTCAGCACCCGGGGGGGACTGAGCGCAGCACCCGGGCAGGGACTGAGCGCGTACTGAGCGCAGCACCCGGGGAGGATTGAGCACCCAGGGGGACTGAACACAGCACCCAGCACCCAGGGGGACTCAGCACCCAGCACCCAGGGGGACTCAGCACCCAGCACCTTCGTCTCCAGGGACTCCGAGCAGCACCCAGGAGGACTGAGCGCAGCACCCGGGAGGGGGGAAGAGACTCCGTGCCCCCGAAGCCCACTCTGGGTCAACTCGGCCCAGCACCCCGGGGAGGACTGAGCGCAGCACCCGGGGGAACTCAGCACCCAGCACCTTTGTCTCCAGGGACTCCGAGCAGCACCCAGGAGGACTGAGCGCAGCACCCGGGGGAAACTGAGCGCAGCACCTGGAGTACTAAACACCCAGCACCCAGGCAAACTCAGCACAGCACCCAGGGGGACTCAGCACCCAGCACCTTCGTCTCAGCGGACTCGGTGCAGCACCTGGGGTGACTTAGTCCAGCACCCAATGGGACTGAACACAGTACCCAGGGGGACTCAGCACCCAGCACCTTTGTCTCCAGGGACTCAGAGCAGCACCCAGGAGGACTGAGCGCAGCACCCACCTGCGAGACCATGAAGCCGTGCGCGTAGTCCATGAGGAGGCGGAAATCCCCGTCCGCGGCCTCGGCCATCGTCGGCCCCGGGTGCTGGGTACTAGGTCGATCTGGGATGGGCGGGGGGGGGGGGGGGGGACTGAGCGCAGCACCCGGGGGGACTGAGCGCAGCACCCGGGTGCTGGGAACAAGGTCGATCTGGGATGGGGGGGAACTGAGCACAGCACCCGGGTCACCTAGCACCCAGCACCCGGCTCCTCGGCCATCTTCTGCCCCGGGTGCTGGGAACTAGGTTAATCTGGGATGAGGGGAGGGACTGAGCGCAGCACCCGGGTGCTGGGAACTAGGTCGATCTGGGATGGGGGGGGACTGAGCACAGCACCCGGGTCACCTAGCACCCAGACGACTCAGCACCCAGCACCCAGCACCTGGATCACCTAGCACCCAGCACCCGGCTCCTCCGCCATCTTCGGCCCCGGGTGCTGGGAACTAGGTTAATCTGGGATGAGCCGGCTGGAGCCGGTGACGGCCGGGTGCGGGGGGGGGCCTGAGCGCAGCACCCGGATCACCCAGCACCCAGATCACCCAGCACCCAGCACCCAGATCACCCAGCACCCAGATCACCCAGCACCCAGATCACCCAGCACCCAGATCACCCAGATCACCCAGCACCCGGGTCACCCAGCACCCAGATCACCCAGCACCCAGCACCCAGATCACCCAGCACCCAGATCACCCAGCACCCAGATCACCCAGATCACCCAGCACCCAGCACCCAGATCACCCAGCACCCGGATCACCTAGCACCCAGATGACCCAACACCCAGATCACCCAGCACCCGGATCACCCAGCACCCGGATCACCCAGCACCCAGGTCACCCAGTACCCGGATCACCCAGCACCCAGATCACCCAGCACCCAGATCACCCAGCACCCGGATCACCCAGCACCCAGATCACCCAGCACCCGGATCACCCAGCACCCGGATCACCCAGCACCCGGATCACCCAGCACCCGGATCACCCAGCACCCAGCACCCGGATCACCCAGCACCCGGATCACCCAGCACCCGGATCACCCAGCACCCAGATCACCCAGCACCCAGATCACCCAGATCACCCAGCACCCAGATCACCCAGCACCCGGATCACCCAGCACCGTCTTTACCTGGCACCCAGACGACTCAGCACCCAGCACTGAGGTCACCTAGCACCCAGCACCCGGCTCCTCTGCCAGCCGGGTGCTGGGAACTAGGTCAATCTGGGATGAGCCGGCTGGAGCCGGTGACGGCCGGGCGTGGGGGGGGGGGACTGAGCGCAGCACCCGGGTCACCCAGCACCAGGATAACCTAGCACCCAGCACCCAGATCACCCAGCACCCGGATCACCCAGCACCCAGATCACCCAGCACCCCGCCCAGAGACCACACCGCAGACGCCGGGCGCAGGGGGGGCAACGACTTTATTGAACCCAGGCGGAGTCCGCGCGGTCACGGAGGATTCGAATTCGCACCCGGGGCGGGGAAAAAAAAAAATCTCAAACGACCTGGTGGGGGGGGAATGGGGGCGGCCATCTTCCCAGGGATTCGAATTCGCACCCGGGGCGGAAACAAAAACAACAAAAAAAAAAAAACCTCGCACTCGGACCCGGTTCCCAGCATGCCCCGGGGCCGTCCGTCCGTCCGTCCTCACCGGGTCCACGCCCCGCGTCTCCGTGGCGACCGGGACCGGGACCGAGAACGGCGGCCGTGCCCGTGGTGCCCGTGGCCGTGGCTGCTCCGGCGGCGCCGACCGCGACGACGGCGATGGCCGCCGCGCGACTCCTCGCACTCGGGCCCCCGGTGGTCGCCCTTGTCGCGCTCGCCGCCGCCGCGGTCGCGGGTCGGGGTCGACGCGGCGTCCGCGCCTGGCTTAGGCGTCGCGTTCTCGGGCGCCATCTTGGGTTCGGGGTTCGAGTCCTGCGCCGCCGCCGTTGCGGGTTCGGGGTTCGAGTCCTGCGGCGGCAACGGCGGCGTCGGGGGCGGTGGGGGCGCCCGTGCGTGGGTCACGCGGTGCAGGATGTCGAGCACGGGCCGCAGGAGGGCGTCAGTGGCGCCAGGTTCCGGGTTCGAGGTGTCGTCGGTGGCGCCAGGTTCCGGGTTCGAGGTGTCGTCGTTGGCGCCGGGTCCCGGGTTCGAGTCCCCCGCCGGGCGCCGTCCGAGCAGCAGGGAGAGCAGGCGCCGCCTCAGCTCGCGCTCCCGCCGCTGCAGCCCCAGCGCCCGCGCCTTCTCCTCCTCCACGCGGCGCAGCTCGGCCTCCTGCAGGCGGCGCCGCTCCTGCTCCTCCTGGCGCGCGCGGTGCTGGCGGCGCTGCTGCAGCTTCGCGGCCTGCGGAGGGGGGTGGGGGTGGGACTCGCACTCGGGACCCGGGACTCGCGCGCACGCGGGACGCCGCGGGTATACGCCTCGGGGCTGCGGTGGACTACGTTTCCCAGAGTGCACTGCGGGGGTCGCACGGGGGCGGGGGGAGGAGGTGGGGTCACGGGGGCGGGGCCTGGGGCGAGGGGCAGGGCCTCGGGGTCCTGCGAGTGCACACGTGCGACACCAAATGCATACACACACACCGCGCACACGTGCGACACCACATGTATACGCAGACACGGCGCACACGTGGAACACCAAATGCATACGCAGACACGGCACACACGTGGGACGCCGCATGTATACACACACACCGCGCACACATGCGACACCGCCTGCATACACGCACACATGTGACACCACATGCATACACACATATACGTACACACCGCGCGAACATGTGACACCAAATGCGTACACACCGCGCACACGTGCGACACCACATGCATACACACCGCGCACATGTGCGACACCACATGCATACACAGACGTCTCACACACCGCGCACACGTGCGACCCCGCCTGCATACGCACCTCCACGCGGCCCAGCAGCTCGGCCACCAGCCGGATCGACTGCAGGTTGCGCTGGGCGAGCAGCAGCTTCCGCTCCTCCGTGCGGATCTTCTCCTGCAGACGCCGCTGCTCCTCCGCCTGCTGCTTCTCCGCCCGGCGGCGGCTGCGGCGCTGCTCCCGCTCCCGCGCCCGCTGCTCCCGGCGGCGCAGCTTCTCCTCCCGGCGGCGCGCGCGCTGCTGCTGCTCCAGCTGCTTCTGCTTCCTGTGGGGGCGGGGCGGGGTGAGGTCATCGGGGGGCGGGGCCTGGGGAGAGGGGCGGGGCTCCATGGACTACATTTCCCAGAGTGCTCTGGGGGTCATACAGGGTGACGGTGAGGTCATCGGGGGCGGGTCCTGGGCGTGATGGGCGGGGCCTGGGCGACTGGGCCCTGTGGACTACATTTCCCAGAATGCTCTGCAGGGTCAGACGGGGTCGTGGTGAGGTCACCGGGGGCGGGGCCTGGGGCTGAGGGGCGGGGCCTCTGGGTCCTGTGGACTACATTTCCCAGAATGCACTGCGGGGTCACACGGGGTCCTGGTGAGCAGGTGAGGTCACCAGGGGCAGGGCGTGGGGTGAGGTGCGGGGCGTGGGGTGAGGGGCAGGGCGTGGGGCGGGGCCTCTGGGCCCGTGGACTACATTTCCCAGAATGCACTGCGGGGTCACACGGGGTCGTGGTGAGCAGGTGAGGTCACCAGGGGCAGGGCGTGGGGTGAGGGGCGGGGCGTGGGGTGAGGGGCAGGGCGTGGGGTGAGGGGCGGGGCCTCTGGACTACATTTCCCAGAATGCACTGCGGGGTCACATGGGGTCGTGGTGAGCAGGTGAGGTCACCAGGGGCAGTGCGTGGGGTGAGGGGCGGGGCCTGGGGAGAGGGGCGGGGCCTCTGGGCCCTGTGGACTACATTTCCCAGAATGCACTGCGGGGTCAGACGGGGTCGTGGTGAGCAGGTGAGGTCACCAGGGGCAGGGCGTGGGGTGAGGGGCGGGGCCTCTGGGCCCATGGACTACATTTCCCAGAATACACTGCGGGGTCACACGGGGTCGTGGGTGAGGTCATTGGGGGCGGGGCCTAGACTGAGGGGTGGGGCCTGGGGAGAGGGGCGGGGCCTCTGGGCCCCGTGGACTACATTTCCCAGAATGCACTGCGGGGTCACACGGGGTCGTGGGGAGTGGGTGAGGTCATCGGGGGCGGGGCCTGGGGAGAGGGGCAGGGCCTCTGGGCCCCGTGGACTCCATTTCCCAGGATGCTCCGCGTGGGCCGAGTGGGAAGGCTTGGGGACCCGGGCGCGATTTGCATATTCACGTCTGACCGAGGCCAATTTGTATATTCACGGGGCGGGGGATCCTTTGCGTGCTGTGATTTGCATATTCATGACCAAAGCCTCGTTTGCATATGCACGCCCCGGGGGGCGATTTACATACTATGATCTGCATATGCATGAGTATTCGGGACCTCATCTGCATACCGGGATTTGCAAATTCATGAAGCACGGGCCATTTGCATACAAGGCGCACACATATGAGCGGCCAAAGCCTTGTTTGCATATGCACGCTATGGGTGGCAATTTACATATTACAATTTGCATATTCACAAGCAGCCAGGACCTCATTCGCACACCGGGTTTTGCATATTCATGACCCCATTTGCATACCGGGATTTGCGTGCTCATGACCTCATTTGCATGGCGGGACTTGCATATTCATGACCTCATTTGCATGCCAGGATTTGGACATCATGACCAGAAGGAAGGCGACAGGAAGTGGGCACAGGAGGGACAGGAAGTGGGTTCCTGATGGACAGGAAGTGGGCACAGGAGGGACAGGAAGTGGGCACAGGAGGGACAGGAAGTGGGTCCCGGAGGGACAGGAAGTGGGCACAGGAGGGACAGGAAGTGGGTCCCGGATGGACAGGAAATGGGCACAGGAGGGACAGGAAGTGGGCACAGGAGGGACAGAAAGTGGGTCCAGGAGGGACAGGAAGTGGGCACAGGAGGGACAGGAAGTGGGTCCAGGAGGGACAGGAAGTGGGCACAGGAGGGACAGGAAGTGGGTCCAGGAGGGACAGGAAGTGGGTCCCGGAGGGACAGGAAGTGGGTCCCGGAGGGACAGGAAGTGGGCACAGGAGGGACAGGAAGTGGGTCCAGGAGGGACAGGAAGTGGGCACAGGAGGGACAGGAGGTGGGTCCAGGAGGGACAGGAAGTGGGCGCAGGAGGGACAGAAAGTGGGTCCAGGAGGGACAGGAAGTGGGCACAGGAGGGACAGGAAGTGGGCAAAGGAGGGACAGGAAGTGGGCACAGGAGGGACAGAAAGTGGGTTCAGGAGGGATAGGAAGTGGGCACAGGAGGGACAGGAAGTGGGTCCAGGAGGGACAGGAAGTGGGTTCCTGATGGACAGGAAGTGGTCCCCGGAGGGACAGGAAGTGGGTCCAGGAGGGACAGGAAGTGGGTTCCTGATGGACAGGAAGTGGGCACAGGAGGGACAGGAAGTGGGCACAGGAGGGACAGGAAGTGGGTACAGGAGGGACAGGAAGTGGGTCCAGGAGGGACAGGAAGTGGGCACAGGAGGGACAGGAAGTGTGTCCAGGAGGGACAGGAAGTGGGCACAGGAGGGACAGGAAGTGGCCACAGGAGGGACAGGAAGTGGGCACAGGAGGGACAGGAAGTGGGTCCAGGAGGGACAGGAAGTGGGCACAGGAGGGACAGGAAGTGGGCACAGGAAGGACAGGAAGTGGGCACAGGAGGGACAGAAAGTGGGCACAGGAGGGACAGGAAGTGGGTCCAGGAGGGACAGGAAGTGGGTCCAGGAGGGACAGGAAGCTGGTTATGGACAGGAAGTGGGCACAGGAGGGACAGGAAGTGGGTTCAGGATGGACAGGAAGTGGGTCCCGGAGGGACAGGAAGTGGGTTCAGGAGGGACAGGAAGTGGTCCCGGAGGGACAGGAAGTGGGCCCAGGAGGGACAGGAAGTGGGTTCAGGAGGGACAGGAAGTGGGTCCCAGAGGGACAGGAAGTGGTCCCAGGAGGGACAGGAAGTCCTCCCGGAGGGACAGGAAGTGGGTCCAGGAGGGAGAGGAAGTGGGCACAGGAGGGACAGGAAGCCCCCGCGCAGCCCCGCCCCGCCCCCGAAGCCCCGCCCCCCGCGCTCACTGCTCCTCCTCCCTCCGCCGCTCCTCCGCCTCGCGCTCCCGCCGCTTCTGCTCCTCGCGCTGCAGCTCCAGCTCCCGCAGCTTCTGCCGCTCCAGCTGCCGCCGCCGGATCGAGGCCTCGCTCAGGTGCTTGGTGGCATCGAACGAGACCTGGGGGCGGGGCCGGTAGGGGTGGGGGTGTGACCTCGGCGCCTGGAAACCCCGCCCACCGCCTTGTCGCCGCCGCCTCGAACTCAAGCCCCCCGCCCCGCCCCCATCACCTCGAACCCGAGCCCCACGCCCCGATGACACCATCTCGAACCCGAGTCCTATGCCCCGCCCCCATGACGACATCATCCCCGTGACCACAGGTGACGTCATCGCCCACTCCGCCCCCACCGCCTCGAACCTGAGCCGCCCAGAAACCCCGCCCACCGTCCCGTCGCCTCCTTGAACCCGAGCCCGAGCCCCACGCCCCGATGACATCACCTCGAACCCGAGTCCCACTCCCATCACCTCGATCCCGAGCCCCGCCCCCACGATGACACCGCCTCGCACCCGAGCCCCACGCCCCGCCCACGAGCCCCGCCCCCGCCTTCCTACCTTGATGCCGCATGCCACCGCCTTGCCGTCCTCGCCCTTGTACATGAGCTTCGTGCCCCGCAGCGCCGCCATGGCCCGCACGAACCCCGCGTACTCGCGGTACTGCACGTAGGCCTCGAAGTGCAGCCCGCCGCCCCAGCCGAACGTGTGGAACCCGCCGCGGCCGACGCCGCCGCCGCCCACGCCTCCGAGGCCGCCGCCCACGCCGAGGCCTCCGCCGACCCCGCCGACCGCCGCCATCTCCTCGCGGTATGGGTCCAGCATTGGGATGTCCACCTGCCGGATCTCCCCGAACGCCGAGAACGCCTGGCGCAGCACTGCCTCGCTCGGGCGCTCTGACCCGGTGGACACGGAAAACGGAGTGCTGGCGGAGGCGGACGAAGTGCTGGCGGAAGTGGACGAAGTGCTGGCGGAAGTGCTGGCGGAAGTGGCTTCGCCGCCATGGCTGCCTTGGCCGGCGCGGGGCGCGAACCATCGGCAGGGCAGCCCCTCGAGGTGGATGGTGTCGGGCCTCTCGCCGGGCCGGGTCTCGTTCATGTCGGCGGCGTCGCGGAAGAAGGCGTCCCAGTCGTGGCGGGAGGGGGCGTCGGGGCGGAACTCGGCGGCGCGGACGCGGAGCGGGTCCGGGAACCCCGCGAGCTTGAGGCCGCGGCCGTCCAGCCGCGCCAGGAACGGCCGCACCAGCGCCCGCTGCTCCACCTCGCCCTCGAAGCGGATGAAGTCCAGCGTGCTCTTGGCGATGCGCAGCGATGAGAACTGCGCGTGCGGCGCCCGCGGCGGCGGCGGGGTGGGCGGGGCCGGCGCCGTGGAGGCCCCGCCCCCTTCCGCGGTGATGTCGTCGGGCCCCGCCCCCGCCACCATGGCCTTGAGCCGCTCCATCACCTCCCAGTTGGAGATCGACTTCCCCGGCGGACGGCGCGCGGGCAGCGCCACGCTGATCGCCAGCTTCGTGATCGGCTTCAGGTAGAGGCCGAGCGCCGGGCACAGCGGCGCCGCCTCCGACGGGTCGTGCACGATGGTGGCCGCCGACATGGCTGACGGGGGAGGAGGGGGCGGGGGAGAGAGGGGGGCGGGGCCGGTGAGGGACACGCCCACCCTGCCCGATCCCCGCCCTGAAGCTCCGCCCACCACGTCATCCCGGCCAATCGGGGTCCCCGAACTGACCTCTGGCTCCGCCCCCACAGGAGAGCTCCGCCCACCACGTCATCAGGACCAATCCGTGTCCCCGTCCTGTGCTCTGGCTCCGCCCCCACAGGAGAGCTCCGCCCACCACGTCACTAGGACCAATCCGTGTCCCCATCCTGCCCTCTGGCTCCGCCCCCACAGGGGAGCTCCGCCCACCACGTCCTCCTGGCCAATGCGTGTCCCCGTCCTGTCCTCTGGCTCTGCCCCCACAGGAGAGCTCCGCCCACCACGTCTTCCTGACCAATCCGTGTCCCCGCCGTGCACTCTGGCTCCGCCCCCCACAGGAGAGCCCCGCCCACCACGTCCTCCTGGCCAATGCGTGTCCCAGTCCTGTGCTTTGGCTCCGCCCCCACAGAAGAGCCCCGCCCACAAGGTCACCAGGACCAATCGCTGTCCCCTCCTGACCTCTGGCCCCGCCCCCAAAGGAGAGCCCCGCCCACCACGTCATCCTGACCAATCCCTGTCCCCGTGCTGCACTCTGGCTCCGCCCCACAGGGGAGCTCCGCCCACCACGTCGTTAGGACCAATCCGTGTCCCCGTGCTGCACTCTGGCTCCGCCCCCACAGGAGAGCTCCGCCCACCACGTCATCAGGACCAATCCGTGTCCCCGTCCTGTGCTCTGGCTCCGCCCCCATCGCTCAGGCCCCGCCCTCACCTAAATCAACAACTCACCAAGGCCACATCCCCACCATCCTGGCCTTGAAGTCTCAGCCCCGCCCACTCTGACAGTCCTGCCAATCCCTGTCCCCGTCCTGCCCTGGAGCCCCGCCCCCAACAGCTCTGCCCCGCCCCCGGCTATTCCTGTCAATCCTAATCCCAGTATGCCCACTGGCTCCGCCCCCATCCCTGAGGCCCCGCCCTCCCCTCAAAAAACCCCTAAGGCAGGCCACGCCCCCTACACCCCCTCCTTCCGCCCTTTAACTCCGCCCTCCCTGGCGACGCCCCCGCACCCCCAGCCAATCCCCTTCCCCGTCTTTCCCGCTAGCCACGCCCACACAGAAGCCCCGCCCCTCGGCCAATCCCCACTCCCTTACCTGTCCTCTGGCCCCGCCCCCTTCTCAGCCCGGCTCTTTGGCTCCGTCCACTTGTCGGCCCCGCTCTACCCTGTAGCCCCGCCCTCCCCACCGTCCTGGCCAATCCCCACCCCCGACCTGTCCAGTAGCCCCGCCCCCACCGCCGTTAGCCCCGCCCCCGCCGCTCCTCGGCCCCCCGCGACCCCGCTCCTTCCCCTCTCCCCTCGTCCGCAGCCCGAATCCGCCCCGAACCGGTTCAATCCGGGTCCCCGGGCGGCAGATGGGCGACTTCCGGGTTCGCACTCACCGGCCCGGGCTCCGCTTCCGCCTCCGTCCCCGTCCCGAGGCCTCCGTTGTGGCCGCCCGCTCCGTCCGCAACCGACGCTGCCCGCCGGGCGCCCGGATGATCCCCGTGACGCACTTCCGCCTCCGGGCGCGCGAGAAAAGTTCCGCCCGGTCAGCGCCGCGGGTCCCGGGAGCGCGAGAAATGGAACGCAGGATGAGCCAAGGACTTCCGCATCCGGCCGCGCGAAAAAAGTCCCGCCCGGTCAACGCCGCGGTTTACGGCTCGCGAGAAAAGTTCCGGGGCCCGAGGGAAGCGGTTCCGCCTCCGGGCGCGCGAGAAAAGTTCCGCCCGGTCAGCGCCGCGGGTCCCGGGCGCGCGAGAAAAGGAACGCAGGATAGGCGAAGCACTTCCACTTCCGGGCGCGCGAGATATGTTTTGCACGGTCAGCGCCTCCGTTTACGGCGCGCGAGAAAAGTTCCGGGGCCCGAGGGACCCGGTTCCACCTCCGGGCGCGCGAGAAAAGTTCCGCACGGTCAGCGCCGCGGTTCCGGGCGCGCGAAAAAAGTACCGCCGGCCTAGGAACTCTGTTCCGCTTCCGGGTGCGCGAAAAAGAAATTCCGCCAGCCGCGGGACGCGCGAGAAAAGTTCCGGACGCGCTTCTGCACTCGCGAAAAAACAATTTGGGCTTGCGAGAAAAGTTCCGCGGGCCGAGGGACGCGCTTCCGCGTAGGGACGTGCGAAAAAAAAAGAAACGCGGAACAAAGGACTCGCGAAAAAGAGACCGCCCCGGACGACGAACGCTGTTGCGCTTCCGGGCCTGCGATAAAAGTTCCGCGGAGACGAGGGGAACGCTTTTGGGCGCGCGGAAAAAAAAGTACCGGCGGCTGGACGTCCGGTTCTGTCCGGACCCGCGGAAAAAAATCCGTCCGTTCCGGGTTCCCCGCGCCGCCGCCCGCGATGATAACGGAGCCACGCGGGCGCCCGTGCACATCGGTTCCGCTTCCGCCGGATGTTCCTCTTCCGGTGAGGGCCTGGCGCTTTGGTTCCGGGGTGCTGGCGGGGCGAATCGGGGTTTCAGCGTGAGCCGCGGGACCCGCGCCCTCTGACCCGGAAGCGCAACCACCCCTCTCGCGGTGACCCCGCCCCCTTCCCTGGCCCCGCCCCCTCACTCACGCAGGCCCCGCCCCCTTCCCCCCCCAGGCCAATATCCTGGGGAAGCCGCGGAACAAGGAGGATGCCATGCGGATGCTGGGCCGGCGGGTGGGCGGGGCCTGGGGGCGGGGTCACGGGGAGGGGGCGGGGCCTGTGAAATGGAGGGGGCGGGGCCACGGGGCTAAGGGATGGAGGGGCCTGGGGGCTGGGCCACTGGAGAGGGGGCGGGGCCTGGGGATGTATTGGGCGGGGCCTGGGGACGGAGGGGCGGGGCCTGGGGGCTGAGAGGGCGGGGCCTGGGGTAGAGAGGGCCGTAACCTCTGTGTGACCCCACTCTGACCCCCGCGTGACCCCCGCAGGCTGAGCGGGCGCGAGCACAGCGTCATCACGGCCGTGGCCATCTTCCTCTTCCCGCCGCCCCGCGACCCCCGCGACCCTGGCGGTGACCCCCGCGGCGACCCCGGACGTGACCCCCGCGGCAACCCGGACGTGATCCCCGCGGCGACCCGGAAGTGACCTCGTTCTACGAGGAGTTGACGGAGGCGGAGGAGCTGATGCGCCACTACGTGGACAGCGGGAGCCCATGTGGGCGTGGGAGGCGGGGCCCGGGCGGGGGCGGGGCCTGTGACGTCATCACCGGGGGCGGGGCCTGTGACATCAGCAGGGGGCGGGGCCAGGGAAGGAAAAAACAATGAACACGGGGTCACCAAACTCCTACACAAGCCTCCAAGCCCTGTGCTCCCCGCCCGTTGTCCCCTCCCCCCGGGGAGACAGGAAGTGGGCGTGTCCCCGGGGGAGGAGACAGGAAGTGGGCGTGTCCCTGACGCCGAGGCCCCGCCCCCTCCCCCCCCCCCCAGGGACAAGGCCTGCGGGTGCGCGCTGCAGGGCCTGCTGGGGGCTGTGGGGTGCGACCCCCGACCCCTGAACCCCCGACCCCCGACGACCCCGTGACCCCCTGACCCCCCTGACCTCCATGACCCCTGACCCCCTCACCTCCCTGGCCGGAAAAATAAACCCGAGGGTCGCGCCCCAACCTCTGACCCCCTGACCCCCCCCCGGGACCCCCCCCCCCTGACCTCCCCTGACCCCCCGTGACCCCCTGACCCCCCTGGCCGGAAAATAAAAATGAAAACAAACCCGAGGGTCGCGGAGTTTACTTCCGTTTATTTATTAATTTATTATTTCTCCGCTATTATTAATTTATTATTTATTAATTTATTATTTACCAACTTATTAATTCCCCATTATTATTAATTTATCATTTATTAATTTATTATATACTAATTTATTATTTATTAACTTATTATTTACTAATTTATTATTTACTAATTTATCATTTATTAATTATTTAATAACTTATTAATTCTCTGTCATTATTAATTTATCATTTATTAATTTATTATTTACTAATTTATAATTTATTATTTATTAATTTATTATTTATTAATTTCTTGCCTATTAATTTATTACTAATTAATTCTCCGTTATTATTAATTTATTGTTTATCAATTTATTATTTATTAATTTATTATTTACTGATTTATCATTTATAATTTATTATTTATTAATTCCTTACCTCTTAATTTATTACTTATTAATTCTCCATTAGTATTAATTTATTATTTATTAATTTATTATTTACTAATTTATTATTTATTAATTTATTATTTATTAATTTATCATTTACTAATTTATTATTGATTATTTTATTAATTCTCTTGCGACGCGTTTGTTATTGACTCATTCGTTGCCGGCTCGTTAGTTTATTATTTGTTGTGAATTTTATGAATGATCCGGCACCGATTTATTGATTCATTAATTCATCGCTAATTTATTGATTTACTGAGCACCGAGCACCCAGGGTACTGAGCACTGAGCACCCAGGGGTACTGAGCATCGAGCACCCAGGGGTACTGAGCACCGAGCACTGAGCCCCGATCCGTAGGCACTGAGTACTGGGCACTGAGCACCCAGGGTACTGAGCACTGAGCACCCAGGGGTACCGAGCACCAAGCACCCAGGGGTACCGAGCACCAAGCACCCAGGGGTACTGAGCACTGAGCACTGAGCCCCGATCTGTAAGCACTGAGTACTGAGCACCGAGCACCCAGGGGTACTGAGCACCGAGCACTGAGCCCCGATCCGTAGGCACTGAGTACTGGGCACTGAGCACCCAGGGGTACCGAGCACCAAGCACCCAGGGGTACTGAGCACTGAGCACTGAGCCCCGATCTGTAAGCACTGAGTACTGAGCACCGAGCACCCGGGGTACTGAGCACCGAGCACCCAGAGTACCGAGCACCAAGCACTCAGGGGTACTGAGCACTGAGCCCCGATCCGTAGGCACTGAGTACTGAGCACTGAGCACCCAGTCCTGAGCTCGGAACGGGGGTAGAAATCAAATTGATAATAATAAAATAATTAATTGTAAAATAGAAAATTAATCGGGTTTTAAAAATTAAATTGATAATATTAAAATAATTAATTGTAAAATAGAAAATTAATCGGGTTTTAAAAATTAAATTGATAATAATAAAATAATTAATTGTAAAATAGAAAATTAATCGGGTTTTAAAAATTAAATTGATAATAATAAAATAATTAATTGTAAAATAGAAAATCGGTTATAAAAATCCAATTGATAACAATAATCATCGTCGGAGGAAGAATCGCACAGACATTAAATTCGTAATGAGAAAAGAAATCGCCGAGATAAATTAATATAAAATAAATGATGACACAAAACCGGTATTATACGGGAATTATTAATTAATTTAAAATGATGAAAAAATAATTAGTTTCAGGTTTTTTTTAAAATATATCTATTTATTTATTAAACCAAACGTTGAATATTTTTATTTTTATATT